ATACTAAGAGGCTGAATGTCATCAAGGTTAAGATTACCTGAAGACTTAGACTTTTCCTCCGCCACCACCTCGGCCAACGCCTCTTCAACATCCCTTCCTCCTTCGGCGATCCATTTTTTGTAGAGCTCGATCTTATCATCGACATCGGGTTGTTTTTCCTTTGAAACAGTGCAGCCCTTGGAGACCACATGCCGCTTATCGAACTGACCATGACATCGCTGACAGAGCTGCTTCTTTCGGCATATCGCTCGGAATCTGGGGAAGTTGAAGCACATTTCAGCCGACATGACATCCAAGTCCATTGGGACTACACCGTCAGGTACTCGAACAGGAGGAGCTGAGAAAGATCGAACTGGGGCTTGAGCGTGCTGACGTTTTTGAAGAGCTGGAAGGGATCCTGAATCGATCGAAGCAATTTTGTCTTGAGCTTCAGCCGCCGAAACCGCAAGAGTCTGTTTTCCTTTCAAGGTCTTGGTTGATTTCCAATCGCCACGCATGACGGCAATCTTAAGAATTTTCAGATTGAGGGCTCGTTCATAAATGTCGCAACGGGACTCCTCGGTTAAGTCGACCGCAAAACAAAGAGAGTTGAAGAGTGCATTGAATTCTTCAATGGTGCGATTTTGTTGTCGGAAGGCGTTCAACTTCTTCTTGGCGTCCTCGTTGTCGTGTTTGTTGTCGAACACTTCTTCTAAGTGAGTTAAGAAATTCGTAGCCGAGAGGAGTTGAGGAAGAACATAAGGGTCCTGTACCGACGCTGATTCCGTCGGAAGCTTTTGCTCTCGAGCGTTTTCAAAGAGCAACGCCATCCACCAATTGTATGAAGGACAAGGATCGCCCAGACTGCCGTTGGGGTGTCGAAAGTGGCGGACGATCCAGTTGATCTTTGACTTTTCCGATCGGAAACAATCCTCCTTCTCAAAAAGCTTTTCCTTGATGAAGTAAACGAACTGTTTAGTTTCTTTCGGATTCCCAGTGAATTGAGCATACGCTAATTCCGAAACCTCACGAGACGAGCCCAAACCTGATCGAGATAAATCGATAATTTGAGAAGAGTTTTGCTGAATGGCTGAATTGCAGCCGTCGATGACCGAGCGGATTTGATCGATGGAAGATTGGAGCTTCAAAATGTGGTCCTGAAAATACAGCTTGACGTTATTGAGATCGGTGTACAGACTTTTCATCGACTGAATGTCCTTGACATCGTCCGCAAGATGCTTGAAGGTCTTCTTGATGGAGTGGATCTCTGATTGAAGATGAGCGAGTTGAGAATCATTATTTGCCGAGCCGAGTTTGATGGAGGATAGTTGATCTGCTAACTGAGCTACTTGGGATTCGATTGGGTTTCGAGGGTTATCGGTTGGGTTAATGACGGGGGAACTTGGGACGACGGGGATAGACATTTTTGAGATACAACAAAAAAAAAAAAAAGAAGGAAAAAATTACACAATAAAATCTTTGAAAAAATTTTTTAAGAAGAGACTTTTTTCGAGACAATAATTCTGAGTATTACAATTTCAAATAGAATAAAACCCCTTATGAGAGGAATGGTTAATGAAAGAAACAAGGAAATAAATATTTTATAGAATAGATTCTTTAGTTGAAATAAAAAGAGATTCTTTACGAAACAACAACCTGAGAAAAAGCCTAGGACAAAAGATTGGGAGAGGGACGGGAAATAGAAACAAGCGGGAAAAAAATCTTATTATAATAACTCAAGCGAAGTTAAGGGAATTTCTTTAGAACTCTTTCTAAAGACAGATGGGTTAAGATGGCGAAATAATTGTAACGATTAAGGTCACAGCAGCCCCAGACAAGCAAAATAGGAGTGATCCAACAGCACACGCAAACGGATCAAGCTGACTAGTTTCTTCTTTAAATCAAGATAAGTTGGAATTTTGATTACGGGAAATTTGTTGTTTAAGGATAAAACAAAGATTTCGCCATGAGGAAAGAAACCCTCGAGGCGAGTACAACTCTTTAAATATTTTCAGCTAGCTACAACTGTATTACGCTATTCACTTATTTTGTTATCACTGCCTTCTTACATATTGATAAAAATCTTTTTTCTTTTTAAGTAGTTATTTTCTTGATTACTTTCTTGAAAATCTTTTTTCTTAGTACTATTTTAAAGTGTCGAACCATTTTTCTTCTTATCAGAGTACCAATCTTTGAAATTTCTTCTCCTTCGTCATTGAATCTTCTTTCTAACTGAATTCATCTTCATAATAATTTTTTTTGTTTTGCTGTGTCTCGTGCCTGCTCGTTACATCTATGTAGCGTGGAGCTCGACACCGAGCCTAACTAGGCCTCCACGGCGGGAGCGGGAGCGAGCAGCGGAGCTGTCCACGCCAGTGGAGGCCTAAGACAGATGCGGCAATCCCCGCGTGCTGAGTTTTCAAATTTGGGCTTAAAAGCCAGTTTTTTGTGCATTTTTCTACCTAAGCTCTTCCTCTTCCACTATTATCTAATTCCCTTGTAGACCAAGGAGGGCCTGCTTCTTGTAAATGTTTCCCTCTCCTCACATTATTTTGTAATTTTGTCAATTTTGATATAGTTATTTTTGAAAATGACAACTTTTCAACAAAAGTTGAGTTTTTTTTGGTGTGCGCGAGTTCATTAAGCTGCTTATGTGAGCATAAAAAAAGTTCAAACGTTGATTTTAGAAAATCAATATTGATTACTTTTGTGATTTTAAAATTTTGAAATTTGGCCTGATCAACAAGATCAGGCAGGTCTTGAAAAATTCGAGACCAAACATCAAAAAAGTTTTGAGGGAGCGTCATGATTTCAAATCTTGTGACGCTCCCACCAAAACACCAGAAACTCAGCACCTGAGTTTGTCGACCTCTGGCCCAAGTCTCCCCTGCGGGGAGTTCCCTTCGGGAACCGCCTGGCCAGCGCTACGCTGCCAGATGCGCCCCCCGCAGCCTGAGACTTGCGATAAGTTCGGCTCGACACCATCTGCAACGGCCGAACCATCCCTGTGCACCGCTCCACATACGGATCTTGTCCGCATTAATATAATCATTCGAAGTGTTGTGATTATTATGTGGATCGATTCGATGGGCCGCTGTGCATGAGTGGATGGCGATGGATGAGCGGTGTGAAAAGAGAGCACACAGGGGGGGGGGGCAGGGCCTTTTGGCTGCCGGTGCTGCAAATCATGAGCCGCATACATCGACCCCGACACGGAATTCTTGACATGAACATGTCCCTTGACTCCACATGTCTTTTTATTCATACATACCCATATCTTGACATTGATAATCTCATGGGGGAGGGATGCAGCCGGCCAGCCCGGGGTCCGATAAGCTTTGTATCTTTTTTTTTGGGCAGGTCAGCCTGTCAGGTCAGGTGTGTGTGTGTGTGTCCCCATGTGGAGGAGTTGAGAGCGGATTTCCTTGGTTGTACATATATTTCGAGTTTGTTTATCATCAACTTCTTGTCAGAGGAGCTGGGGGATGAATCTGCAATCAAGTCCATCGTTATGTATTTGAGCCGGTCGTCTCGAGCCTCTGCGAGACACAGGTGGAAAGAAAAGACGGCTTGCTGCTGGATGATCGTCACGGCTCTTGGAGCCGAAATGCCTCTTGGATTCTTGATGATGTCGGGCCGAGCAGCCGAAGGATATTTGTCTTGTTTTCCATGCTCACTCTTGGATGCGCAAATCCGTCGTCGAGCCTGCCGGCCTGCTTCCTCCCCTGATAGTATCTAGACGCGAGCTGCAGTCTGGATTCATTGTATCATTGTAGCTGGACAGCTACCAACAAGAAGAACAAGCACCTAGTCAGCTGGGGCTGTCCGGATTAAGACAAAAGGAACACAGCTTGAGGAAGCTCTTCGCCGGCATCTCGAAGCGGAATCATCAGCCTGAAGCTGCAAATTACAATAAATACATAATCGGCTGCTTGGTGGTCAGGAGGAGTCTGTTCATTCCTTGTTTCCACAGTCTGTCGGTGTCCTCCATCTCTACACACAAAGCACAGTACACTCTTCTCCACAAGCTTACAGCAATCTCGATTCCCACACAGCCATCTCTTCTCAACGCGTGCTTGATCAGTTGACCCGCCGCCACGTCCGACCACCACTCTGTCACCCGCGTCGTTCTCTCCCTCCATCAAAATCAAAAATCGATTGGTACAAGCAAGATTCCGGAACAATCCCTCCGATAAATAATCCAAGAAGAAGAAGAAGAAGAAGCAGAATTGAATTGGGATTCTTAAATATAAGAAAGCCTTCCACCCGCTTGGCCTTCGTTACCATCCCATCGAAATCCACAGCGTGCACGTGCTCCCCCAGTGCTTCCCTCCCTACCGGCGCTCGAGCTCTCTCCGCACCATCTATTCACCCGCCATCCCTCATATACAGACCACTCAGCCCGTGCCCGACTCCGGCCTCCCTCATCCCAAATTCAGCTTTTTTTTAAAATAAAAAAACCAGCCATTCCTCGACCGACGACCCCGGTACATACACATCAGCAATCCCTCCTCCTCCTCTTCTTCCTTGCCCCGGTGTTTCTTCAGAATCTTCGAACCTATTCCTTGAAACAAAGTCCATCTACAAAAGAATCATTACCCCAAAGCAGAATCCTCTTTTAGTCATCCATTGCCCGCCCCATCCGTTCACGTGGTTGTTTCGCCATCTGTTGTTGGTTGTTGTTGTACGCGGAGTATATTGCTCTCGTCGTTGTACATCCCATCTGTCTATTCAGTCTATAATCCCCAATACACCCAAGCTGACTCTCCTGGGAGTATACACGGCCTAGGAATCTCCTCGAACTTCCCCACAATCACCCCCTCCTTGAGCATCATCTGCAACGCCGGGGGTCTCTCTTCCTTTTAATTGCTGCCTCCTCCTCCTTCAGCAGCAGCATCATCATCATCATCTGCCACCCCCTCAAGCTACAAAGATCCAACCAAGAAAATCCATTCACTCTCACCCTCTCCTTCCCTCCCCCACTGATTAATTTCTACCCGCAACAGACAATTCTTTGCGCTACCCCACACTTCAGCTCAGACCTTCTGTTTCACCCAATTAAAACTCTGGTCAGTCTTCCCCCCGACTTTGTATCATCCAGAGCATTCATCCATCTCACTGTCCTAGCTGATCCTGCTTCTTCTCACCTCTTCCCTCCAGAACTCGCAACAGCATGACTAAGAAATTCGACGATCGGGTGATCCCACTTGGCGAGCCTGCGACCACCAGAGCCAAACTGGTCGGCGTCGCCATGGCCTTGTTTGCGGCCTTTGGAGGGTACGTCCATCATCATCATCATCCGGAACCTCTTCCTCAACCAAAAAAACCCATTCCCGAGGATTCTGGCCTGACAATCTTCCTCATTCCTTACAATTGATTGGTAGATTCTTATACGGCTATGACACTGTAAGCAGAACTCCATCTACCCCACACCGTACAAGCCATGTCGATCAACAGCGTCTTCATCCCATCTGACCAATGTGCATAACCAGGGTTACATATCCGGAACCAAGGAGATGGCTTACTGGTCAGTCCACCAGCCACACTCTCAGCACCATCGTACATTGCCTAATCCGTCTCTCTCTCTGATTTTTTTTTTGTCTTCTCCAGGAAGTCGCTCTTTGGAGATCAGATTGCCGACGGAAGTTACATCGTACGCCCCGCTCAAACAACACCTCTTGACTTCTCTGCTGCGCACTCGTAGCACCACCACCTTGTACACAGATTAAACTTATCCATCCCTCTGCAATTCATTCATCAGCTCACCACTGCCAACGACTCCCTCGTCACTTCCATCCTGTCAGCAGGAACCTTCACGGGTGCCCTCCTAGCATATCCTTTCGGTGATCGCCGTACGTGCCCCGTCTCCATCCCAAAAATGGGTTCAAGCTGACTCTCATCATCACATCCGTAAACAGTCGGACGAAGATGGGGTGTCATCGTCGCCTGTCTCATCTTCTGCATCGGCGTGGCTCTTCAGACCGCATCAACTGACATCCCAGTCTTTGCCGTCGGCCGTGTGTTTGCAGGCTTGGGTGTCGGGATGACCTCATGTCTTGTGCCCATGTACCAATCAGAATGCGCCCCGTTCGTCCATTCTTCTATATGCTCCCCAACATCTTTCACTTTTCCTGACCTTGTGAAATATCTACAATATCCAGGAAATGGATTCGAGGTGCTGTGGTGGCCTGCTACCAATGGGCTATCACCATCGGACTCTTGGTTGCAGCAATCGTCGTCAACGCTACTCAAGACATCAACAATGCCAGCTCCTACCGAATCCCCATCGGGATCCAAGTAAGACAAAACTGTATCACCACCTCCTTCAACGTCCAAGCTCATTTTTTTTCCCCGCTTTTTTTTTTTTTAGTTTGTTTGGGCCGTGATCCTATCCTTAGGACTGTACATTCTACCCGAGTCGCCTAAGTATCTGATCCTCAAGGGGCGGGAAGAAGAAGCCAAGAAGTCCCTCTCCAGACTGCTCTCCATCCCTGCCACCTCCCCGCAAGTCCTGAGCGAGTATGACGAAGTCTGCGAAAGCCTGCGCGCCGAGCGCGCCATGGGCACCTCCACTTATGCAGACTGCTTCAAATCTGGACCGGGCAAATACCGGCTCAGGACTTTGACCGGGATGGGAATCCAAGCTCTCCAACAACTCACTGGGTGAGTATTTTCTCCTTGCAAAGTTTACCCTCCCTCGCATTCTTTGAGACTAATCATTGTGCCTATCCTTCTCAGTATCAACTTCATCTTCTATTACGGAACAACGTAAGTCAAGCCGTCCGTTTTACTTCATGCTTCCCGGCAGGTCTTGATCCCCCCAATCCCATCACAGTTTCTTCAAGAACAGTGGAATCAAGGAGGCATTCACAATCACCATTATCACCAATGTTGTGAGTACTCCACCAGTCTTCACAAAAAGGAAAACGGTGTCACAGCATGCCGACTGACCATCGTTTTGTATTGGTTTCAACTTTCAGGTCAACGTAGTCATGACGATCCCCGGGATTTGGCTGGTCGACAAGGCCGGCCGTCGATCGCTGCTATTGACCGGCGCTGTACGTGCAAACAGATGATTCTTTGTCGGTCATGATGCTGATGCTTGATGCTTTTCACTCTCCAGGCCATCATGTGTGTCTGTGAATTCATCGTCGCCATCATCGGACTCAAGCTCGAAAGCTCCAACCTTGCTGGCCAACGCGCCTTGATCTCCCTCGTCTGTATCTACATCGGAGCGTTTGCGGCAACTTGGGTTAGTTTTCTCAAATCGTCTGGCTTGTTGTCATTGTACTCATTCTTGTCAACTTGCCTTTGTTTTTTTTTCCAGGGTCCCATCGCATGGTAATTTTGTTTTTCTGTTTTGATCCTTGAGGCGGTCACGGTCTGTTGACTAACCATCTCGACTATGATGTTCAGGGTTGTGACGAGTGAGATTTACCCGTTGGCCATCCGAGCCAAGGCGATGTCGATGTCGACTGCCTCCAACTGGGCCTTGTTCGTCACATCTCTCTTCAATCAGTTTCGCATGCAAGCTTAGCAAGCCCACACCTTCGCTTATCTCATTCATATATATATAGAAACTTCGCCATCGGATACTCGACGCCATATTTAGTGGATGTCGGTCCAGGTAAGGCGGGGCTCCAATCGAACGTGTTCTTCATCTGGGGCGCATGCTGTGGCTTGTGCTTTTTGTTCACCTTTTTCTGGTCAGTCCTGAGCCCCCAAGCCATTCTCTCTCTCGTTGGATCTTTCATCATCTGATGCTGATGTTGATGTTGGTTTGGGTGTAGTATTCCGGAGACCAAGGGGCTGTCGCTCGAGCAGGTCGATCAACTCTACATGAACAGCTCCATCCTCGGCTCCAATGCCTATCGTCGGCGACTCGTCAATGGCGAGTTCGACACCCATCAGCCTACGACCCCGCTCGGCTCGATCGTCGAAGACGACCGGGCCGACAAGCTCGCTAAAGTCGCTTGATCGATCCCTCCCAATAAACAAAAATTGACACTCTCATATCCTTACCTCCTTATAACCAAACGATCCGCTATTATACTAGTAGTAGAACTTGTTCCCCTTTCACCTAATATACTCTCTATTGTGACTTGTTAGGTTTTTTTTTTGTTTTTTGTTTCTTCTTATGTACCTTAGGTAGGAGTGGGAGGGATCGATAAGCATGGTTGAGCTCGAGGCGTGGTTTACATACCTGAATCATCACAGACTTCAGTTTCTCTTCTTCTTTCTCCACTTGGCAGCCGGGCTAGCGGATCCATTCTTCCTTTCTCATCATCCCCATCTACCTTCCTCTCCCTCTCCCTACACACACACAACACAAAAAAAAACTTGCTCCAGCCACAACAAAAAAGATATGCCAGTTCTCGCGCTCGTTGTATTATTATCTTATATTGCCCGTCTCTTTTTTTTGTCTTCGGTTCCTCCTCTTTGTTCTCATCTCTTTCTCTGTTTCCAGCTTTCTTTTATGATCTCTCTATATGAAAACTCTTGAAATAAAATCAAAATCAAAAATCAAAAATTGATGATGATGATTTCGTAATTGGAGTCACCCAGGGCGCGAGGAAGGGGAGTTGGTGATCGATTACATAGGGCAATCGGAGCAGGAGATCACTTGAAGAGATCTGGACTTGCAGGTCTAAATCTATAAGACGGCGCATCGCGCGACCAACACAATTGATGACTTGTATGGCGGCCAGTTGCAAGTTGAAGTTGAGAATGGGCATATGCAGCAGCTCGTCAGCTGCATTGTAGTCCAACACGCCTGGCCTCCCAAGGCCACCCACCAACCGATACAATTACATACAAACATTGTACCCAGCCCTTCCTGAGTTCAACCTTCGAGCGCCTTTCTGCTCGTCTTGCTCGTCTCGCCGTCAGCCCCTCCCCCGGTCAATCCCCTCTTGTATTTGTGTAAAGCATATGTAGCCCGTCATCGTCACTCGCCATCGGGGCGCGGCCAGCCATCCTGTTGTACACCCTCGCACGTCTATCCTGCTAAAGCTGATCACCCGGCTGGTGGGGGTGGGCCGCCCAGAAGGTGTGCATGGTCAGCTTACTGATGCTATGGCTGATGCTATGGCCCTGGACGTCGGCCAACCTGACGGAGCTCTCGAAAGTCCTTCTTCGGATGCCGAGAGCGCGAGCGAATCGGATGACCAGCAGCCGGTCGGGGTTCTGTTCGAGGCCAGCTGGCCAACAAACAGACTGCAAGTTGGATTGCGCTCAACCGCCGCCTCCGTGTCGTTGATCAGGCGCTGGGCTTCCTCTACAATCTTACATAGGCTTCCATATGATAATTTGATCGACCGCTGGGCCATGAGGTCGGCGGTCAGCCTGTCCGGAGGCTTGGCCAATCAATCACGCCCTATCACGCCCGCTTCTTCGTCACATTCTGGGTTCTATTCATAGTCGTTGTTGATTTGCTGGGGCCCGGTCGCCACTCGTTGCCATCCTGGTCGTTCAGTCTTGTTCTATGTGTGTATTAGGCTTCTCTCGACTGCAGTATGTACTCCTCTGGCGCCTTCCAGCCCCATCACCTATTGCAATGTACAATCAAAAAGATTTCGTGCGGTTTGTCTTGTGTAGAGACGCGCCTTCTCTGGTGCTCATTTAACTGAACACTATTTCAGTCATTCCCCTCCCCTCCCCTGCCTCCTCAACAGCTCCCAAATATCATTCATTAAACTTTTTTTTTTCATTTTGCAGTCTCCGGAAGTCTACATACATATACACACAAGTAAAATGTCCAACTTGCACTTGGCCGTAGCCAGCCGATCCAAAGCCATGAGTAGCAAATCTCCGATCCTTTCAACCAAAAAATACCCAGTGTGGGTTTCGATCATTATGATCTTCCTGCTGGTTCATCTGCCATCCTCGTTTGAATCGGCCTCTGTCGAAGAGCGTCGATCAGAGGTCTGGGCCAGTGCTCGATTAAGAGCCCGGGCAGTCGATACTCCACCGAAGGATTGTCCCGGCCCGAAATGCAAATCCTCCGCTGCCGGAGGCTCTGCCAATGAAGAAGAGTCAGTGCTGCTATATAAAGCGCGCTCGATTTGTCTTGGGATGAACCCACACATCACTCAAGAGAAAACAATTCCTCCTCTTCTTCTTGTGTAGGGACATCCACCATCGAGCCTCCGTTTCTACCCGCTCCAAATCGGCCCGTTCGGTGAGGGCAAGGGATTGCAAAGGTCAGCTCGACTCGTCTTTCCAAGCAACCCCCCCCAACCGCGGTGCCTGACCCTCCAAACGGATTTTTTTTTGTTTGTTATCCAGGCGAGGGAAAGAAGGATCCATCATCAACCCCGCCGGAAAAGCATCGAAAGAAAAAGGGCTCTGAGGACAAGCCGGCCGATCAACAACAACAACAACAAAGCCAAGCTGACGCTACCCAATCCGACGCCCCAAAGCCTGCAGTCCAGCAGCAAGATGATGACTCGAACGCTCAGCAATCCGAGCCGCCCCGCAAAAAGTCCCATAAATCAAGGTGACCACATCCCATCGTCACTGCCGCCATTTCAGACCACTCACTTTCTTCTTCTTCTTGCCCCTTGTTGAAACAGTAATAGTAATGCTTCTACGGCTCCAACCACATCTACTCCGGAAAATTCTGGTTCCAATACGGGCGATCGTTCCGATCGGTGAGTCTCAAGCAATCAAAGAGAGCCGCAAGGTCCTTCTTTTCTTGTCCCAATCGGCTATCAAAGCTCACCCCTTTTTTTTTCTTTCTCTCTTTTTTTTTAAAAAAAAGATCTAGATGGCTCGCGGCTCATAATGATATCCGGAGGAGGTACTCCGTCCCTGACCTCGTCTGGGACCCTAAATTGGAAGCCGTGGCTCAAGGCCATGCTGACACCTGTATCTTCAAGCATTCGACTAGCGGTTACGGTGAAGTAAGATCATCAAGTTCTTTTTTTTTTTATGTGAATACGAACTGAGGCCATGTAAATATTTAACGTGTTCAGAATCTGGCCGCGGGACATCCGACGCTCGAGTTAGTCCTAGAGGACTGGGCGTTTGGCGATGACGAGTGTGGCTCCTGGGACCCGGCCGCGGCGGACTATTCGCACTTCACACGTACGTCCCTCCTGCCCCCCCCCCCCCCCCCAAAAAAAAACATCTGCGCCCAGTTTTCTCGGTTCTGTTCGGGGATTGATTGACCAACACCTTGAATAAAAATTCAATTCTCATCAACAACAGAGGTCGTTTGGAAAACTGCTGCCACCGTCGGTTGCGCCGTCAAGAAATGCGCTACTCTGCCCGGGGTCCCGTTCAAACTCATCGACACCTTTTACTACGTCTGCAATTATAGCGGGTCCGTCTTCCTTCCCTCCCAAATCTCTGCAAACCCCCCTTCTGGTGTCTTGACTCCCGCTCCATTTTTTTTTGCCGCTGCTCTGTTTTTATTGCCTGCTCAGACCGCTAGATGCGCCGACCGACTTCGCGTCCAATATGCACGCGAAAAAAGGCCAATGTCTCAAGAAACCCACTCCACCAAATCCAACCTCTTGATGATCCCCCCCCCCTCTTTTTGTTTTTTCTTGAGTTTTCGTTTTTTGGTTCTTCTACATAGAGGAAAATTTGATGGGACTTTGAAAGTCCACTCTTTCTTTTTGTTTTTTTTTGTCTCGCGCGTCACTCTTTCCACTACATAGAAGACCCGCGTTCGAGTCTTTTTTTCCCAGGGTTCATTCTCCTTCATCGACCGTGTCGAGATCTGTTTTCATCTGTCCCCTTCCCATCGGAGTTTGTTTTGTCTTTTTGTTTTGGTTCTTCATCTTCTTCTTTGAGCTGTGGGCTATAAGTACCCTGATCACTTTAATGAACGAAAAGGAAACCCGATCGAGATCTTACAAAGGAAACACACAAAATCAGTAGCAAATATGTCAGCGTTTGACGAGGTACATAAATCCTTCGCCATTGGGCAGCGTGACTTACCACGACGCCATAGCCTTAGGTGTGAAGAAAGCTCATCAAATGTTGCGGTGGAAGTCGCGAACATCATGAGAGTTGTGTGGCGTGTAACGGGAGGCCGACGGTGTCCATATATATGAACTAGATTTTCCAGCCGGATTGCTTACCGAGATCGAGACACAGAGCCGCAGTGAAAACCCCTATATGTAGACAGATGGCCGACACAACCCAATTGCCTTGCTTTGGACCAGAGGCGTTTCACCAACCCCGCCGACCGGCAACAAAGATGATGAGGAAAGAGCGCGATTCTAAACTCTCTAATGCGTGTCGCTTCAGTGTCCAACTTGCACTCTTTTCTGGTGTGTGTGTGTGTGGCAGTCATCCCCGGACCATCCTGAAGGAATCCCAGACAACCAACTCTTCAACTCAGCCCGGCCCCCCCAACTCCTCACGCTCTGCAACTGGCTCGCCTCCGCTACGTAACTACCAACCCTGGAAACGAAGCGTGGGTTTACTTGCCAGCTCTTGGACTCTCAATCTTCCACCAATGTTATGTAGTGTTGCACACCATTTGTCGCTTGATCATGTGCATCATAAATCAAAGGGGGTTTGGAGGAACTGGGTGGTCAGGTATGTATGTCAATCAACTTGCTGATGTAGAATGAATAACCTATATTTTTGTGCTAAATTCAGCAGGTCTGATAGTAACATGAGAGATGTGCCCAACCTATTTTTTTTTTTTTTCAAGTGTCATGAAGAGTCATATTCAAACTGGATCATGAACCTCTTCTGAGGAGGCATCGAATGAGAGTGGAAGCAAGGAGGACAAAAAAAAAGGGCTTCGGTTGGATAGTGTGGACACAAGAGCTTGCCTTCCACGATAACCTTAAGAAAGGGTGGATTGAAGGATTGTAAGGATCGAAATCACGCCTCTGGAGTTGAACCTCGCGAACGCAGAGTGGTTTGGGGGCTCGTTCATATGCTCAGTCTTCCCCCTTCAAGAAAAGCCAAAGAAATAAAACAGGCTGCTGAGATGTGGTAGATCTATGTAAAAAAAAGGCCTGGCACAAAGATTGGATCGATGTCCGACAGACAGCAAGGATGATCAACCTCCGCGGGTCGGATGCTGTCGGATGATCGCAAAACGAGTGTCCTTCCTGCCTGAGCAGTGAAATAGCAAGAGCGACGAATTACAATCGCGATCAGTCATTGTATTTAAACGGATTTTCTCTATCGTGCCTCCGCCGTCTCTTGTTCTCCTCAAACTTTATTGAACCCATCATCGACCCAAATGTGTCGCCGACAGTTATATTTAATGGCCACCGGGTGACCGAATCGAGCGGAGATATTTACAAGATCCGCGATTGATGAACGATACGACAAGGTAATACATAGACAGCTCAAACCCATCGATCGACCCACAGGATTGTGCACAAGCCATGAACCCTACATATTTAAATACGTCTCAGCAAGCCGATCACAACCGTGCTCCGGAGATTGTTCTCCTCTCGGTCGGCCGGTGTGTATGTCGGATGTGACTGGTGTTATTACAGGACTATGCACTTACATATATATACATATTCCATACCTTATACATAGATTTTCACATATTATTTTCACACATATATTTACATATTATGCACTTATCTTTAGTTGTACTTTCTCAACAACCCAAGTACATAGTTGTAGATACTATATATAGTCCTCTCTTGTCGAAATACAGTTTCTCCCTTGGGGGAGTTTTCCTATTCTCAAGATTTGTACCGCTGCGCTCTACAGGTTATGAGCCTGCGCTGTTACCAGCGAGGTTTAAGAAGAGCTTTTTTTCAGTACAAATAGCCGGAAGATTTTTCAGTCAAACCTTGATATCTTTCAAACCTAAACACCTTCAACTGGATTTTTTTCGGCGACTCTCTTGGGCCGATATCCTAACCAACAACTTACTCCTCCGGCTGGATTTTTCGACGAATCTTTCGGTCGATATCCTACTCAACCTCCTACGTTTTTGGATTTTTCGACGCCTTCTCGGTCGATATCCTAAACAACCGTCACAACCGTCACATTCTAGGCTAGGTTTTTTGATCGGTACCTGCCTCGTTTTTGTATGGTCAACACCCGATCTACGGGCCTGCCTCCAATCGTTCCGGACTTTACGGCTCGAGTAACTCCTCCTCGGCGTCATTCTCCGTCACCTTCATCATCCGATTTTTTCTCGCCTACCTCTGCGATGTCGTCAAACAACCCTCCGGTCTCGCCGTCGGACAACCGCCCAAATGATCCCTCGATCCCCCCTACCACTACTTACCCGTCGATTTATCCCCCTCTGCCTTCATTTGCGTTTCCCTCAGGTTTTGCTGCCGGCCCGTCGGCATCGACTTCGGCTATTCCCCCTGTAGATCCTCCTCGTCAATCGGCGACGCCGTCGTCTGCTTCCGATCATAAATCGACCGCGGATGATGACAGGCGAGGTGCGGATGACGAAAGGGGCGGTGCCCACGATACTGCGCTGTCGTTTGATGCCCTCTTGGAGCAAGCTTTTCGGAAAAACGGTCTAGCAGGGTTCAACGACGACCTGCTCAAGCTTCTCTTGCTCCGGAACATGATGGGCGAAAAGAACGATTCAGGATCTTCTCAATCGGCTGTTGCCTCGCTCCTCAAGTGGCAACAATTAGGCAAAGACGTTCAGCCCCCGCTATCTATCGATGGATCCAACTTTCATCTGTGGTCTTCATCAATGAAAGACATCGTGGCCTCAGTGACAAAGAACACCGACTACTTCAAGACCGACTTGTCAGCAAATGATCCAGGGACTTCTTCGGGTGTTGTGGCTCTCATCAAGAACTCGATCGATCCAGCGCTACGCTCATCGCTCAACGGGATGACGGCGTATGGGGCCTGGAACTCTCTAAAGGGGCGATTCGCTAAACCCTCCTGGTCGCTCCTCCTCAGTCGATGGTCTGACGTTGCGCGGGCCCCAGACGCATCAGATTCGGTATCGTCCAGCTATGAATCTCTAAAGAGGAGCTGGCTCGACCTTGAGGAGCGATTGGGGGGTCTGACAGCAGATAAGTTGCTGTCTCTCTCTTTTCACTCCAGCCTTGGGAATTTCAAGCAACCACTAACCGATGCCATCAACTCGCGACTGGCCATAAAGCCTGACGTCTCTATCACCTCGGAGGAAATTCTCAGCATGGCGTGCCAACTTCAACAATCGGCTGCCGCTAATTCGTCTTTGATGGGAATGACGGCTCATCGTGGATCTTATCCGAGTCGTGGCAATCGTGGTCGTGGTTTCGCGTCTGGGCGAGGAGGTCGTGGCGGCGGACATCGTCAATCGGGTAAATCTGATCCACCGGCTGACTCTTGGGGTCAAAAGTACTTGACGGCAGAATTCCCCTGCAATGTTTGCTGGGAATGGGGGCACTGGGCGCAAGACTGCCCGCGAGTCAAACGTGGTCTTCCGCCTCTGGACGACCCTCGTAAATCCAACCCAGGATGGCAGCCAAAGAAGTCAAATGTCATGTCGGGACGTCTTATCGTTTCGGATGGTACTCTGGCGTCGGTGTCAGCCAACCCTGAAAAGGCTGATGATGTATTATGCGACACTGGGGCGACTAACCATGTAACGTCGCAACGCCAATTTTTCATCAACTTAAGGCCTGCTAACATCAGATTGCGTGTGGCATCTGAAGAATGCATTTCCGTAGATGGTATTGGTGACGCATACATCCCCACAGCTTACGGCGATCTTCACCTCACCAATGTACTGTTGTGCAATCAAGTTCGGGGTACGGTTCTGTCAATTGGTTTTTTTGACAAATGGGACGGTCGGGTTTCTTTCAAAAATGGTCTTTTTGTTTTCTCTCAGTGTGGTCGTCTTTTTCCCTCTTATGTTGAAAATTGTCGTTGGTTCATCTCATCAGTCCCCACTTCAAAACAATTGTCTGCTTCTGTCTCTGCTTCTCCTGGTATTCAAACTCCTTCTGTTTCCTCCATGACTTCTCAATTGTGGCATGCTCGTCTTGGTCATCTGGCTCTCCGGACTGTCAATAAATCGATATTGAATAATAGCGTATTTGGCTTACCGGACAAACCGTTTGCTCAATTCTCTGGAAAGTGTGGCTCATGTTCATTGGCTAAAAGCACTCATAAGCCGGTCAAGTCCCCGTCACGAGAAGTAGCTGATAAGCCAGGTGCAATTGTCGCAGTTGATCTTGTTGGACCTTTTCCTGCCGCACTGGATGGAAGCACCTACGGTTTGGTTATACACGATCTTTTCTCCCGAATGACCTCAACTTTTGGTCTGAAATCTAAGGATCTGGCCGCGAAGGAGGTAATGACCTGGATTGAAAATTTCAAAAAGCATTGTTCACACGATGTTCTGTGCATTCGATCAGACTGCGGTGGTGAATTCATTTCGATCAAATTCAATGATTTCCTCAAGAAGAAGAATATCCGTCATGAAATGTCAGTACCATACGAACACCATCAGAATGGAAGTGTTGAGCGAACAAACCGGACTCTTCTCGACATGGCTCGAACTCTTCTAATTCATGCCAAGCTGCCAAACACTTTATGGTTTCTTGCGCTTAAACAGGCAACGTTCATCTTCAATCGGATTGTGCATGAAGGCGCTAAGAAGACTCCGTACGAACTGTGCTTAGGAAAAACCCCTTCTCTCGACATGGTCAAGGTGTTTGGTTGCAGGGCTTATCTACATAACATCAAGTATCCCAAGCAATTTGTCCCCCGGTCAACTCCTCTCATCCATGTTGGGATTTCTGATACCTCTCACGGCTGGACTCTCTGGAATCCTGTATCCAAGAAATTGGAGATCGGTGCTTCGGTTATCTTTCACGAGGACGAACTTCCCTCTCAATTGACTAATTCAGGCACCCTCAACGCTGTTCTCAACTCGATACAGGCTTTTCACTTGGGTGATTTCTCTCAAATTAAGGAATTGGAAATTCAAGATGCCTGTGTCTCTTCAGCTGTTGCGCTCTCTCCTTTCCTTTCGGATGCACCTAACACTTACGGTCAGGCATTGAAGTCCGAATTTCACTGTGAATGGTTGAAGGCTTGTGAGGAGGAGATCGCAATGATGATTCAACTTCATGTCTGGGAAGAAGTCCCCTTTTCGGAGGGCATTGAGGTCCTGAACTGTCGATGGGTTTTTGCGCTCAAACGAAGTCAGGAAGGAATTATCACTCGTTTTAAGGCTCGTATAGTGGCGCAAGGATTCCGACAGGTCCATGGTGTCAATGTTGGTGAAACCTTTGCTCCTACTCCAACTTTTCCCTCACTCCGTCTCCTTTTGGCAATGGCGTCTAGATTCGGTTGGCCGGTAGCCTCTTTTGATGTCAAGTCAGCATTTCTTCATAGCGATATTGATCATGATGTGTACATTCGTCCACCACCCGGTGTCAACGTCTCTCCCGGTTGCGTCCTGAAATTGAGGAAAGCCTTGTATGGTACCAAGCAGGCTGCCCGATGCTGGTGGCTTCACCTGAAGGCCAAATTGGCTACCATTGGATTTCATCCGAATCTTGAAGATCAATCAACCTACGTCTACAAGTCTGGTGAAGATATGGCTTTTCTGTGGGTTCATGTTGACGACGGTTTGTTCACGGCAAGTTCACAGGAGCTCATGTCTCGTCTGAAGTCTCAGTTGGATTCAGTCCTCGATCTCAAATGGGATGTTCAATTGTCCAGCATTGTTGGCATTCGTGTTAAGGAAATATCTGGAGGTTTTGCTCTGGATCAGCCCATGTTGATTGAGAAAATCATCAATTATTCTCCATCAAACATCAAAACTCGTACGCCTTTGCCTTCTACGGACTTGGTATCCAATCCTTCTAAGGGAATGGACCGTGAATATTTGTCGAGGATTGGTTGTCTCCTGTATCTTGCTCAGGGGTCTCGTCCGGATATTACCTTCTCCGTCAATTTCCTTGCACGTTTCTCCATGGCGCCGGATCAGTCACACTGGGATGCTCTTGAACACCTTATTTCCTACGTCCGCTTCACTTCTGGACTTGCCTTGCCTATTGTTTCGTCTGGTGATCCATCCGACTGTGTCAGGACTTTTGTTGATGCAAACTGGGGGGGAGAAGGCTGGCGGTCTGTTCATGGCTTTATTTCTACGGTCTGGGGGGCACCCATATCGTGGGCTTCAAAGCGCCAGAGTTGTGTTGCCCGTTCGACTTGCCAGGCGGAGTATATGGCACTGTCTTTTGCCGCTAAGGACTCCTGCTTCCTTTCTTCTTTGCTCTCCAGCTTCTTCTCCATTTCTTCTCCTCTTATATTTTCTGACAACAAGGCGGCAGTGTACATCAGCAAGGATTGCGGCTCTAGGAAGGAGCATCGTCACGTGGACAGAGAATTTCACATCATCAACGAACTCCTTTATCAAGAAAAGGTTCGTTTAGAATGGATTCCCACTGATCAACAATTGGCGGATATCTTCACCAAAGCACTGGGCTGGCGGAAAGTGTCGGAATTCTTGACTCAGACAGGACTGCGGTCTTTGTCTCACACCTTGGCAAGTATTGGGGGGAAAGTATGCGCTGGCTGCGATGAACATACGCCCCCCGCGATTGTTCGTCTCTCTCCGGAATCTAAAAATTCCTCAATTGGTGATTGGTTCAACGGTGGTTAACCTATATTGCTTTATGTCTTTCCGCACCCAGGTTTCCCCATTGGCGGTTATTTTCTATTTTTTTCTTTTTCTGTTATTATATTGTTTTTCTCCCTTGGTTTCTCCTCTCCCTCATCATATGTTATATTCTTTTGGTTTTGGTCTCTTTTTTCTTTCTTTCTTTTATCAATGTTCTACTTCCATTTTTTGGGTTCTCTCTTTTTTATTTTCATTTTCATTTTTATTTTTCTCTTCTTTCATGGGGTTGTTGAGGGGGGGAGTGTTATTACAGGACTATGCACTTACATATATATACATATTCCATACCTTATACATAGATTTTCACATATTATTTTCACACATATATTTACATATTATGCACTTATCTTTAGTTGTACTTTCTCAACAACCCAAGTACATAGTTGTAGATACTATATATAGTCCTCTCTTGTCGAAATACAGTTTCTCCCTTGGGGGAGTTTTCCTATTCTCAAGATTTGTACCGCTGCGCTCTACAACTGGTGGGGCTTCGCAGTGCGTGTCCAAGTTTCGACGAGCCTACGCAGTTGATATGCATGAGCCGTGCAAGCTTGTTGATATCGTGCAAGAGCCGGCGTCTGCAGTTCGGTACGGAGCGCAGCGTCGATAAACATACACTTCAGCTGAATGATGTCATTTGTGACGGATGACTGGGCTTGCGGGACTTGTTGAATGGCCCTATACATCCCTCACCAGTGCGAACCAGTGCGAACCATTGGACTTGAGCGGCATGCAATCCGAAGACTTCCGGTAGTATCAACTAGATCCCGGCCGCGCAAGAGGTCAGGATTGATTGATAAAAGTTTGATGAGGATCTGGGAGATCGATGAAGGAACTCAGAATTCATGAACAAAAAGAAACAGGAATGGGAGATGGTCTCGAGAGGATGGTTGAGTGGGAGCATAGAGCGGCCCATTTTACACAAGGGTTTTCTAGCTTGACAGACTCCGCTTTTGGCGGCTTGCATGGATTGCCGACTTTCTCGCAGGAAGAGGAGGTCTTGGTGTTGTCCAGACCATCCCAGATGGCAAGTTGTAAGCGAAAGTATGTACTCGGGAAGCTCAGCGGTTCGTCCGGCTCTGTCCTCTCAACGCTTGCAAGCTCGCGTGACTTTTGCTGGCCCGGAGCCGGACCGGTGGCTTTCCCAAAGAGAATGATGGCTAGTCGTGACTGCTTCTTTACATTGTATGTAGTCCCTACTAAAGCCCAGCTTACCGCAGTCACCTCAAGGATGTCCCCTGTGAGGATTCAGCTGATGTATGATTGCTAGGTGGTTTTCTCGATCCATAAGACCGAAGAAGGACCGTCCGGGATCAATAGGCTTATTTTCATCTATGGGGAAAGATTAGGTACGAGAGGACGCGACAAGTTTTGGCTGCACTAAAGTGATTTTGTTTTGTGTGCTAGACCCAAATCAGCATGTCTCCCAGCTATGTCAATGTGTAGGAGTCGTCATCTGATTCGAGCCTTATTATCTGACGAGTTTACGATTGCGAGCACCATCCCCTTGTACTCGTCCTTGCTCGTGTTCGACCGAGTCCAAGGAAAACTGTGTTGTTGTTTGCTTGGGTTGTTTCCGCTGCGAGTCTCTCCGTGGCTTTGCTTCTCTCCTTTTTCTGCTGTTCCTGCTCGTTTATGTACGTATTTATCTGCCGGCCATGCATACATCCCACTACATAATCAGTCTGACTGGAGATGATTTTTCACATGTCTGGTCTTCGCTGGGCTGTTTCACCTTTCACGTGATCCAAAATAAAATATTTTAAGATTATTTATGTACGATGCTAACTAAAACTAACCCCTGATGGCAATTTCATACACCCTTTTTGCCCTCCTTGTGGGCCGTTTATGTACATATGAGGCTGCTTTCCTGGGGTTTTGTCCGGTTTTGTCTGGCGGTATTGATCCCGAGCTCACCCACTTTTGGGTGGTATGGGGTTGTAATCTCTTATCTTCGTCGCAACCACAGCCCAGGAATCGGAGCCAAGGACGACGAGCCAACCAACGCCAACCAATGGGAGACCTCCAAAAAAAAAAAAACACTATTCATTCAAAAGAACCTTCTCCCCTCCCACCCCCCCCCCCCCCCCCCTCCTCCCTCCCTCCGTCTTCTCAATCTGACTCATCTCCATCCCAACATCCCATCACAGCAAAATCAGACTCAAAAAAAAACCACCCATTCACACTAAAACACACACACACACAAAGCAACTGCCCCTCTCGACAACATCCGATAGACTTAATAAAAAGGAAAAAAAAACACTTTCACCCCTCCCGATTATCATAGATCAACCCAGTAAGTCCAATCTCATCTACCTTCCCAACCATCGGCGAAAATCAGTTACTAAAACCTTATCTGTCTCCTTTTTTCAGCCTCCTGACGCAATCTCAGCAGTCCGCATTCACTCCCCGATCAAAAAAAAAAAAAAAGAATATCATCCATCGATCCATCTGGACTTGTGATGGCACCCAAGGTTCACAACAACCAAGAACAAAAAGAGATCAAATCCTCAGAACCTGATAGTAACCTCATCCGATCCTCAAACCATTGGGCAGGTGCCTTGCCCGCCCCTCAAGGACTCTACGACCCCGACCAAGAGAAGGACTCATGCGGTGTCGGATTTGTCTGCCACATCAAGGGCCAACCCAACCATAAGATCGTCTCCGATGCTCGCTCCCTACTATGCAACATGACCCATCGTGGTGCCACTGGCGCCGATGCTCGCGATGGTGACGGTGCTGGGGTGATGACCGGAATCCCCCATGCGTTCTTCCTGAGAGAGGCCTCACTCCTCTCGATCGATCTCCCCGCCCAGGGTCGCTATGCGGTCGGAAACGTCTTCTTTAGACCAAACCCGCCCGAAGCGCTGATCGAGCATAAGGCCACCTTCGAAAGGATTGCGCTTACCCATAAGCTCAAGGTCTTAGGCTGGCGTGAACTACCCAGGAACAACTCCATCCTCGGCCCAGCTGCCCTCAGCCGTGAACCAATCATCCTTCAACCATTCGTGGTGCCAGACTCTAACGAACCGGACGCTTACTTTGATGAAAAGGAGTTCGAACGCCAGCTCTACGTCTTACGAAAACATGCTAGTCATGCCATCTCCCTCGCCGATTGGTTTTACATCTGCTCATTATCCAACAAGGTGATCATCTACAAGGGTCAACTCAGCCCTAGTCAAGTTTACGAATATTACTACGATCTCAACCATGTCCTCTTCGAATCTCATTTCTGCTTGGTTCACTCTCGATTCTCTACCAACACTTTCCCCTCCTGGGACAGGGCTCAGCCGTTGAGATGGGCCGCCCACAATGGTATGCAGTCCCTCCTATCATTATTTTATGACTAAAACATCAACTCACACATCTCACCATCTTTGGAACTCTGAACACAGGCGAAGTCAACACAGTCCGTGGCAACAAGAATTGGATGAGGGCACGAGAGGGCAACTTGTCTTCTGATAAATTTGGTGATCAATTGGAATCCCTCTACCCCATCATTGAAGAAGGCGGGTCAGATTCCGCTGCTTTTGACAACGTCCTCGAGTTGCTAGTCGTCAATGGCGTCATGAGTCTCCCGTACGTACCTCTACGTACATTATCACCCTCACACATTATACTGACTGACACACTACCTTCATTGTCCACAGAGAAGCCATCATGATGCTCGTCCCCGAGGCCTGGCAAAACAACCCCAACATGGACCCCGCCAAAAGTGCATTTTACCAATGGGCGGCTTGTGTGATGGAACCCTGGGATGGCCCGGCCCTTTTCACCTTCTCGGATGGTCGATACTGTGGAGCCAATCTTGACCGTAACGGTTTACGCCCATGTCGCTGGGTGACCACAGACGAAGATCTTATCATCTGTGCGTCTGAAGTTGGAGCGATCACCATTGCACCCGAAACGATCACCCGTAAAGGCCGTCTTCAACCCGGCAGAATGCTCCTGGTCGATACCCAAGAAGGTCGAATCGTCGACGACAAAGAGTTAAAGATGGCCACCGCTCAGAAGAAACCCTTCCGAGAGTGGATCAACAACCAAATGCTTCGTTTACCCGATATCCTCAAACACAACAAATCCATCAGCTCGACTCTACTTTCTGATACTCTCGATGAAACCCGAATCTCGGAAGATCCTCGTCTTCTGGCCTTTGGATATACGCTCGAACAACTTGACTTGCTCATGAGGCCCATGGTTTCCGACGGTAAGGAAGCCTTGGGATCAATGGTCTGTCAATCTCTCTCCACCTTGCAAAACAAAACAAAACACAACCTAGCTGGTTTATCCGCTTGATACTGACTTTTTTTTTCTTTTTTCTTTCTAAATCTATAGGGTAATGATGCACCACTCGCATGCCTGGCTACTCAGCCTCGCTTGATCTACGATTACTTTCGTCAACTCTTTGCTCAAGTAACTAATCCTCCCATCGATCCCATCAGAGAGTCCATTGTGATGTCATTGGAGTGTTATGTTGGGCCAGAAGGTAACCTACTTGCCTTGGATGAGAGCCAGGCTGGCAGGCTAGCCTTGCCCAGCCCCATCCTAAGCGTTCAGGAATTTCGAGCCCTTCAGGACCTGCACACTTTCAATTCTGCTTGGTCATCACACACCATTGATATTACTTTTGAGAAGCGAAGTGGCCTGCCCGGGTACGTAGTTACGCTTGACCGAATCTGTCAAGCTGCCAGTGCAGCCGTCCAAGCCGGCTGTCGGGTCCTTGCTCTATCTGACCGAGCGGTAGGTGCGGGCCGCGTGGCAGTATCGGCCCTTGCCGCCATTGGAGCCGTGCATCATCATCTGATCAAAAGCAAAGAACGATCCAAGGTAGCTCTTTTAGTTGAGACCGGTGAGGCCCGAGAAGTCCACCATCTGTGTGTCTTGTTGGGTTACGGTGCAGATGGTATCTGTCCATATCTCGCCATGGAAGCCATTCTTAAACTCCGCCGTGAGGGGTTGGTCAAGGTAGATCTGACCGACGTCGATCTCATCGAAAACTTCCGCCATGCCACCAACAATGGGATCCTCAAGGTGATGAGTAAGATGGGTATCTCGACACTTCAAAGCTACAAGGGTGCCCAGATCTTTGAGGCACTCGGTCTACACCAGACGGTCGTCGAACGATGCTTTGTTGGGACAGCCAGTCGAATCCAAGGCACCACCTTTGAACTCCTCGCGTTAGACACGTTTGAGTTCCACGAACGCGGTTTCCCCTCTCGTCAAGTCGTCCAGCCGCCCGGCCTTCCTGAATCCGGTGAATACCATTGGCGTGATGGAGGAGAAGCCCATATCAACGACCCGGTTTCGATCGCCAACCTGCAAGATGCCGTCCGGTCGAAGAACCAGTCAGCCTATGATGTTTATAGCCAGAACGCCCAGAAACAAGTCCGTGCGGTCACTCTCCGTGGGCTGCTCGATTTCGATTACGAGAGTGCCCAATCAATCCCGTTGGAGCAAGTCGAGCCTTGGCATGAACTCGTCAAGCGTTTCTGTACCGGCGCCATGTCCTACGGTTCCATCTCCCAGGAAGCTCATAGCGCTCTTGCAATCGCCATGAACCGACTCGGCGGGAAATCTAACACCGGCAAGGGCGGGGAAGATGGTTCTCGTTCTCTCATCATGCCTAACGGGGATACCATGAGGTCGGCTATCAAGCAGGTTGCTTCCGGCCGGTTCGGCGTTACTTCAAACTATTTGGCCGACAGTGACGAGCGTTATTATCTTATTCTCCTTCAAGTTTTCTCCTCCAGAGTGCTTATCAAAGGTTGCTTTTTTATTTTTACAATCTAGTGCAAATCAAAATGGCCCAAGCTGCGAAACCTGGCGAAGGAGGAGAATTACCTGGACACAAGGTATCCGAATTGATTGCCAAGACCCGTCACTTGACTGCCGGGGTTGGCTTAATTTCCCCACCACCGCATCACGACATCTATTCGATCGAAGATTTGAAACAATTGATTTACGATCTGAAGTGTGCCAATCCGCGGGCGCGGGTTTCGGTGAAGCTAGTGTCGGAAGTCGGAGTTGGTATAGTTGCATCTGGTGTCGCGAAAGCTAAAGCTGATCATATTTTGATCTCAGGTCATGATGGTGGTACAGGTGCATCCAGATGGACCGGCATCAAGTATGCCGGTCTCCCCTGGGAACTCGGCTTGGCCGAGACCCACCAAACTCTGGTCTTGAACGATCTTAGAGGCCGAGTCTGTCTCCAGACCGACGGCCAGATTCGAACCGGTCGTGATGTCGCCATCGCTGCCCTCCTCGGCGCTGAAGAGTTTGGTTTTGCCACCACCCCTTTGATCGCTATGGGCTGTATTATGATGAGACGTTGTCATCAGTCAGTCAACTTTTCCATCGTTCGATGCCTTGATCAAAGATATTTTTTTTGTTTACTAACTATTAACTGGTCTTCCTTGATACCACCCAAAACATCACTTTCTCCCCAATCGTAGAAATACTTGTCCCGTCGGAGTGGCCACCCAAGACCCAGTCTTGAGGGCTAAGTTCACTGGGCAGCCGGAACACGTGATCAACTTTTTCTATTACGTCGCTGAAGAGCTAAGGACCCACATGGCCAAACTCGGTTTCCGGACCTTGAATGAAATGGTTGGGCGGACCGATCTTCTCAAAGTGGATGAAACCCTTCGCAACCCCAAGACAGTTAACATTGATCTGAGTGCAGTTCTCAAACCTGCTTGGAAGATGCGCCCTGGAGTAGCCACATTCAAGACCAAGCAACAGGATCACAAGATGTACACCCGTCTGGATAACAAATTCATCGACGAAGCCGAACCGGCGCTTGCCAAAGGCCTGCCCGTTCGGATCGAAGCCGACGTGAAGAACACCGACCGTGCCCTGGGTACTTCTTTGGCTAACCGGGTCTCAAAGGCATACGGTGAACAGGGACTCGAACGGGACATTATCCATGTCGACCTCCGAGGCTCAGCCGGTCAATCCTTAGGAGCCTTTTTAGCCCCGGGGATCACTCTTGAGTTGGAGGGTGACGCCAACGACTATGTCGGCAAGGGTTTGTCAGGTGGACGTCTGATCGTCTACCCACCCCGGTCGTCTCCATTCAAGGCCGAAGAAAACGTGATCGTCGGTAACGTCTGTCTCTACGGCGCCACCTCCGGCGAGGCCTTCTTCCGAGGGATCGCTGCCGAACGGTTTGCCGTCCGAAACTCGGGCGCCATCGCCGTCGTCGAAGGGGTGGGTGATCACGGTTGTGAATACATGACTGGTGGCCGGGTTGTCGTCCTGGGTTCGACCGGTAGGAACTTCGCAGCTGGAATGAGTGGTGGTATCGCGTACGTTTTGGACATGGCGCGTGAGTTCAAGAACAAGGTCAACTCGGAAATGGTTGAACTGTGAGTATTTGGCGCGAGAATTTCTTGAATCTTGTCGCTATCGAAAAATCAAGCTCACCCTGATTTTATGACTGTCTCAGTGGCACGGTCAATGACCCTCACGAGATTGCTGAACTACGTGGGATGATCGAGGACCATCGTCATTTCACGAAATCGGAGCAAGCTGCCCGAATTCTCCGAAACTTCAATGAATTCCTGCCCCGCTTCGTCCGGGTCATGCCCTTGGACTACAAGGCCGTCCTCGAGGCTGGCGCCAAAGCAGCCATCCAGTCCGATCCTCACAAAAATATGCCCGGGTTTGACATCAAGGGTGATGCATTCAACCCGGCGGAGGACAAGGCAAAGACAAATGTGAACGATCAGGTCGAGATCCCCTCGGCCACGCTCGGCCATTCTGAACCTCCTGTGGTCGATCTCGAGGACTCGATGGTGGATGCGGAGAGCGCCAAGAAGATTGTCGAGAAGCTTGACAAGACTAAAGGGTTCATGAAGTATAAACGGCTCAACGAGAACTACAGGAACCCGAAGAGTCGGACGAAGGACTGGGCCGAACTTTCGACCCGGTTGACCGAAAGTCAGCTCAAAGTCCAAGCCGCTAGATGCATGGACTGTGGGGTTCCCTTCTGCCAGTCAGATACCGGCTGCCCTATCTCTAACGTCATCCCTAAATGGAACGACCTCGTCTTCAAAGGCCAGTGGCTCGACGCTTTGAACAGGCTCTTGATGACCAACAATTTCCCCGAGTTCACTGGCAGGATCTGTCCTGCACCCTGTGAAGGCGCTTGTGTCTTGGGAATCAATGAAGCTCCGGTTGGAATCAAGAGCATTGAATGGTAGATTGTTTTTTTTTTTGTCCACAGTTTGATTAAACCAAAGCTAAATTTCTACTTTTTTGTTAAATACAGTGCTATCATTGACAAAGGGTTTGAGATGGGATGGATAGTCCCTCGGCCACCCGTCGAACGAACGGGGAAGAAAGTAGCGGTGATCGGGTCCGGCCCAGCGGGATTGGCGTGTGCAGACCAGCTCAACCGGGCCGGCCATATGGTGACCGTCTACGACCGTAACGATCGACATGGTGGGCTGCTCATGTATGGGATCCCGAACATGAAGCTCGACAAGAAGGTCGTCCAGAGACGGCTCGACCTCATGGCCGCCGAGGGCATCACCTTCGTTGCTAACGCTCACGTCGGCGTATCTACTGACGTCAACCAGATCCGCGCTGATAATGATGCGCTCGTCGTCTCTACCGGTGCTACTTGGCCTCGTAACTTGAACTTACCCAACCGAAATCTGGATGGTGAATCCTCATTCTTTCATTTTTCTTGTTTCTTTTCAAAAAAGAACGGTTGCACTAACCTTCTCTCTCTTTTTTTTCTCGATTTTGAAACCAGGGATTCATTTTGCAATGGAATTCTTGCAACTCAACACCAAGTCACTGCTAGATTCGGAGCTGAGTGACTCGAGCTACCTATCGGCGAAGGGCAAGAATGTGATTGTGATCGGAGGGGGCGACACTGGGAATGACTGCATCGGGACCTCGCTCCGGCACGGGGCCAAGTCGGTGACCAACTTCGAGCTCCTTCCCCAACCGCCCCAGAGCCGTGCTTCTGATAACCCCTGGCCGCAGTGGCCTAAGGTCTTCAGAGTCGACTACGGTCACACCGAGGTCCAGAACTTCTTCGGTAAAGACCCCAGAGAATATTGTATCTCTACAAAAGAATGTAAGTCTTCTCTTTCGAGGAGCCTCCCCCCGTTCATGCAGCTTGGTGGTTGAATGATCTGACGACGAGGGTCTGCTGTTTCAGTCGTGTCTGACGGTGAAGGAAAACTGAAAGGACTGAACACTGTTCGAGTAGAATGGACTGTAAGTCAAATGAATGGAATCCTCAAAAACTGAGCGGTTTTCACTGACTGGTCGATGTGACCTACAACCACATGACATGTGATTTGTACTACGATAACAGAAAGATTCGAGAGGAGCTTGGAAGATGAAAGAGATCGCGGGCTCGGAAGAGTTTTACGAATGCGAACTCTGTTTGTTAGCGCTCGGCTTCTTGGGCCCGGAGGAGTCGATGATCAAGTCGCTCGGCTTGAAGCAGGATCCCCGCTCTAACATCCTCACTAATCTGGCTGACAACCTCCGAAGGTTCCAGTACCAAACATCGATCGATGGCGTCTTTGCTGCCGGCGATTGTCGGCGTGGGCAGAGCTTGGTTGTCTGTATGTTGTGTCCTCATCTTTCTTTCTTTATTGTTTGGGAGATTGGTTTTTTTTTGTTGACATTTTCTGTTTTTTTGGGGGGGTCATAATAGGGGGGATTCAAGAAGGTAGAGCTGCTGCCGTCGATGTCGATAACTTCTTGAGCGGCAAATCGGCGAGCAAGTTGCCCTCCAAGGGAAGCATCAAGGTGCGCGACTTTGCCGTCGACGCCTTCGAGGCCTCCGTCGTCGCCGCTTAGCTCCTTTTCCACCAGCCCCCTTTTCTCTTCTTTCCTTCATGTTAATACTCCTTTGTCCCCCTTACTTTCTTACGTCTTCATCTTCTCTCTCTCTCTCTCTCTCTCCCTTATATTTTTTTGGCAGTGCAGTTTTTGTGGTGTCTTGGTGTGCCCTTGTGATCAGCATTCACTTCGATCACTTCATCCATTTCTTTTTGCTGTAGGAAAGAACCATTTGTTTTTGTTTTTTGTCTTTCTCTGTCCAAAAAAAAAAAAACGCCTCTTTTTTTTTTGGTATCCTGATCTTCCACTGTAAATAGTCCCTCGACATACGTCGATTGTCGCCCATCTTCTTCCGCCATCCACGTCCTCCGACCTCCCATCTCCATCTCCCCTTTTTCTTTTTCTTTGACTTTGTTTTCTGGTCGGGTAGATTTATATGTATATATATATATACATTACATCACGTGTCGTATACATTTTTCTATACTCTACTTCAAAGCATCTTTCCCTTTCTCTCTCTTTTTCTTAACTTACTTACTTACAGATCCATTTTCACATAACGTAGTAGTAGTGTGTCATGACTTGTTATCCATTTCATGATTATAGCATTCGCATGGGTTGTGGTTCCACATATGTAAATACTGCTGTGTGCATCCCCCTCTTGGGCTGGGCAGATGGTATCGACTCCGAGGTTCCATCTGGGACTCATTACAGAAAGCAATCCATTTGGGATCTCCATAGCAAGAAAAATTGGTGGAGAAAGGGGGGGGGCAGGGGAAGTGAGTTAGGGGCCGGTGTTAGTATTAGGCTTGTCTATGTATTGGAGAGATCTTGAAATGCACTTGGTTTGGCCATTGCCTGGCTTGAATCACAGTCCCGTTTCAGGCGCCGGGAAGCCGGGGAACCGGTGTGCGGGATGCACCTTGCGGAAAAGACGCTCGCTTGGCGCCCGCCCGGCTGGGCCCCTTGGGTAAGCACATTCAAATATCATGGCCTGGAAAAATATCTGCGGTTTCTTTCCTTTTTTTGCCACCTGATGAAATTGCTGGAACTGACCACGCGCTGAAAAAAATGTCACTTGTGTGCTGGATCGGTCGGGATCACATCTCACTGGTCTTTCCCCCGGAATTTACTCTCCTTTTTCAGCCTGCTTTTCGCGCTCGATGATGTGTCGGTCTACACATCTTTATGCGCTTGCAGTCATGACGATGTACATTGTCACATCCTCTTCATGCTGGACTTTCCAGGTGAGATGACCCACGCCTTATTCGGCTCAACAAAACACTTGGGCTATTTTTATGGTCTGGTTGCACGTTGGACGGCGGCTGATTTGCAGGCAGCTTATGTCTTGGTGGTTTAAGTCTGGTGTCCAGGTCTTCTTCACAGAGTAGGGTGCCAGGAATCCTTCCGGAACACCTGCACGAAATTCATAAAGTAGGTGCAACTTGCGGCCAAAGCATTCCTGCTTCAAGTGTGCTCAATCAGCGTTGTAATACGCCTAAGGCTCCGGCAATTTACCTCATGAGAGTCTTGCGGAAGCGATCTTCATTCTCATCATAAGAAACAAAACATGAATCGATCAACTCCGCCACATGAGAGGACGTGTGTCCCTAAATCTGCATCAGACACACCTCGTGCTCACCCAACATTTTGTCTCAACACTATGATCACTAAAAAATGTATATAACAGCAGCCAAATCTCTTTTGGGAAATGTGACGCAAAACACCTTTGATTTCTGTGTTGTCAATAGCGCAACTTACATCTCTTCCTAAGAAGCCATTTTCCAAAAATAATCTACAAGTAATGAAAAAGGTACAAGCAGGATGTCGGTTGTGGGCGTTCTGTCTGTTGGTATTAGCAATAGGCTCTCACGGCGAGCTCCAGGCGGCCTTAAACACCACTAAGGACTCTCCATCAAATAATAACGTCCATGGTGGGTCCCGAAGTCCCGGAGCTCACTCGTCTTCTTCGGCCCGGTCTGTCTCAGCATTGGGGCCCAAACCCGGCTTCGTCACGGCTCCTGGAGATGGTCATCTCTACCTCAATGACGAGCTTTTCGATTTCAGGAGTTTCAAGTGGGTGAACCCATTCTGGAATCCTTCACAAGCTCTCACATTTTTTTATGAATTCAAGTTGAACTATGATTGGATATATTTTTGTTTGCTTTTCTATTTCTCGAATTCTCGGTTGGAAGTACTCCCACTATATTTGACGGTACGCAAAAAAAAAAAAATTGGATTATTACGGCTTCACAGGGGCTGAAGAAATGGTTGACTTGCTTATTTCTGGATCCAAACAGGCCAAGAATTTCAAGGACGCGATCTGTTACAAACAGTTCTGGCTTTTGGCACCCCGGTCACTCGCACATACACGCTGCATGTGGCCAACAACATGTTCTCAGACGGTGTTCAATCACCGTCTTCATCGCACATCCTTGGATGGGACAGCGATGCCAACGGTGAGCTCTTACTCCAATCTCCCTAGTTTCGGGAAGTGGATTGATTATTAAGTGAGACGATGTTGATAATGATATGAACCGTGTTGAAAAAATCAGATTGGATATATAATGAACCTATTTGGACAAATATAGACAAAATGTAAGGTGGATTGCCCTTGTCACCTAAGTCCATTCATCTGATGAGATTCTCACGGCTTTGATCGTTCTATTTTAGATTGGACTTATCCCGCCAATTTGGTGTCCGACTTGTCATCCCAATCATCAATCAGGTATAGGCAAATTTCGAGAAGAACAACTGCCATCTGTGAAAGATTCATCAGATCATATACTGGAATTGATTGGGGAGGATTCTTGTGTGTCCTTTAGGATTATGGGGGTCCCGGCTCGAACTGGGTCGGAAATTTCAACGATGTACATAAAGAAACAAGTTTACTTGCTCTCTTTGATCTCTTTGAAGTTGAGGGCGCTTCGCAGTTCTGATGATGATTTCTGCCGCACTCAGTTGATCCGACATAGGTACGAGATCCAGAACTATACCACCGCAAACCAAGCCGTAGATTGGTTCACAGACCGCCTCATGATCGAGAGCTTCAAGAAAATCATCTCCTTTTACTTGAACCGGGTCAACACATTCAATGGGATTCGAATCGGTGATGACGAGACGATTCTGGCGTTCGAAACCGGAAACGAAATGAATTGGGGTAATCAAAATCAGACCATTCGTATGTCGACTTCCATCATTCCAAGTTTTTCTCTATTCTGGTTCTGGTGATACAAACTTTTCTCAGAATCTAAGCCAGTGATTTCTATTTCCCTTAGATAAAAGGCCTCCCCCGGCAAGTGTCAGTTATTGCGGCTTCACCTTTTTTTTCCCGATAAGTTGATGTGGATAAACACAAACCTGACCGGCGATGATTGGTTTTTAATCAGTGGACGATTGAGATCGCGCAGCACATCAAATCACTGGCTCCAAAGACATTGGTGATGGACGGCAGCTTGTATGTTTAGGGTTTCTACAGGGCTTACTAGTCGCGCTACTCGCCCATGAGAAGATGAAAACCGCTAACGCAGTTTACGCGTCTGAGTATTAGCTCGCGCAATCCAACATCCGCGTGGGAAGAGGAAGTCCTAGATTCCCCATATGTGGACTTGTTTTCTTACCATTTTTGTGAGTCACTTGATTCTGTAGTGTAAGGTTTATCGTTCAAAATCACTGAACAAGCTGGTTTCTCATGAATATATATCTAGATGGGGAAGGTGATACGCAGTTTTTTCAAATGTAAGACATGAAGCTCTTTCTTCAAACGGTCTCAAATCTTTTGAAAAATGTGCTGACCGTGAGATGAAAAATCCAGTCTTCAAGATCAGGTGAGGGCGCACGAGAAGACCTTCATCATCGGCGAACATGGGTTCTGTGAGATACCCGCCGTCGCTTTTACAAAACTCAATGAAATATCCCTAACGAACGTTTCTTTTTTTTTTTTGTCGTTCTGAGCACAGATTCTCAAGCCGAAACGTATCCGGCGTTTTATGAAAACGCGACTTGCGCCGGAACATTCGTGTGGTCACTCTGTGCGCATCACGAAAAAGGAGGGTTCGTCACTCATGGTGAAGGACGTAACATTTATGCCTACCATGCTCCCGGATTCAAGAACCAGACCTCGAAAAACTTCGACACCCAAGAGGCTGAAGTGATTTCCTCGACTTATGATGCTAGGTGCGTTCTGCAAGAACCCCCCATTTTAAATTCGGTATGTCTCCAAGGATGAAGAAGATTGCTAAGGCCGAAATTTTGTCGGCGGCTGGACAGCTATACAATCCTTGGGCTGGAGCCACCACCCAAACCCGTCCCTGGCCCTCCACAAGCCTTCCTGGTTAAGAATGGCTCGCAAGCCGGAATATCATGGCGAGGCTCGGCATGGGCGCAGTCGTACGAAATCTTAGGTGTAAGCAATCTTTCTCGTATTTCCCGAGTGATACAACACTATGCAACTTACGATGGTCATGGTCGGATTACACTACAACAGGCTGGATCTCTAGTACAAGATTGGAATGTTATCTCAACAAACATACCTGATAACGTCGACCCCGGTCAACTCTTCATTCCGCTCAACCCAATCGAACCCACAAAATCGATCAAGATCAAGTTTCCTAAACCGATCCGCAAAAAATCACATGCGGGATGGATGGACTCCAAGTGGTGTGCCCGGGGCTCGCCAGCATCTTGCTCTAAAAAGTTCCATGTTTCGCCGAAACAAGATGATCATCAGCATAAAGATGCTCACCATCCCAATCTTCCCAAGATGCTCAATAATCCTACTCACCAATCCCGTCTCAGTCTGGTTCCTTTGAAATCTGAAACTCCCCATGATTCGTCGGCCTCCGGCGGTTGGTTCGCGGTCCGTGCAATCAGTGCCGACGGAGTACCGGGCGGCATCTCGGAACCAGTTTTCCTCAAATCATAGTACATATACTCAAAAAATGAATCAAGATTCAGATAGTTTGACATAATTTTGTATACCTATTCAGCTGCTTGATAGTGATTGAAGTTCCTAATAAGCATATTGATGTATCTTTCATTCCAAAATTTAATGTTATCTCCAAAAGAATTGATTCAGTCCATTTACAAAAAATATTCAAGCAGTATCATCAAGTTAGAGGAGTGAAAGTGATTGGGTCTCTAACAAAACGAGAGGAGTGGGTATTTCATACAAATTGCCTGCTTGGGCGCAAATCCACACAAGAAATATGGAGTCCTTCCCCGGCGCTTTTTACCCGGTTTAGAAGACCAGGGCTGACGCGAACCGGTCCTCGCGAGTACAAGCCTCCCGCGAAGCTGTGTGCGCAGCCGCGTTCGGAGTCTCGCACTCGCGAGGACCGGTTCGCGTCAGCTCAGATCTTCAAGCCGGGGGTCAAGACAAGGCTTGATCGGGCTTGACGAACAGGACAAGATGTAGTCATCACCATCCATATAGACATGATGGATATTAAGCCCACTGGAGCTGAACAACCGAAAAAAGACAAAGAAAAAAAAAATGTGAAGGAAATATCTTCGCTCTTCAACCGTTTATACGGCGATCAACACTTTCTTCAAAGATTGGGTGAACATACCATAGACTGTAGTAGTCCACATTCACAATCAATAGTGCGATCATTCCGATAGGATGATATATATATCTATCAAGATAATTTGAACAACAAAAATCAACAGTCGATTCCGAACAGCTCTTGCAGGGCTATGGATCGGCTCGGGGTTTTTGCATCGAAGGATAGTATCCTTCAGCTCTTGCTTGCTATAAATCGGCTCGGGTTTTTTCGCATCAACTGGTTGCATCGAAGGAAGGTATCCTTCAATTCGTCGAATCCAAACCCGCTCTTGCTTGCTATGAATCGATGTATCATTCTCCTTGGGATGATCAAATCCGAAGAGCTCTTGTTGGCTATGACTGGGTTCAGGTCCAGCGTACGAAATATGCATCGATTGCATTGAATTCCAAATGTGTCGTCAATTCCATACAGCTTTGGTTCGCTATGAGTGACTTGAGGTTTCCTTTTCCTTTGCGATCAATCGAAAAAATCAAATCGGATAGTTCAATCCATGATTACGGATCGGGCTGGGTTATATGATATACATTCAAGGATGATATCTTTGGATCGTCAGATCCAGAGAGCTCTTGTTAGCTGTGAATCGTTTGGTGTTTCCAAAGTACGAAGTTTCAATCAACCGATGGCGTCGAATAAATGTGCGGTCTGATTTTCCACATCACAGAACTTGGGTGCGGAGTACTCGGAGTGAATGTATCTGATCTTCAAAATAGGATCGGCGGATAAAGGTCGTTAAGCACTTTGTGCCCGATGCTTCTCTTCATGAAACTTGATGTCCTCCTGATAAGCTGCTTGTAAGGCGAGTAAAAATCGATCCACTTCACAAGAAATTAATGCCTAAGGCAATCAGATCGCATGGGGCCAATCCTGATGCAACCGCTTGCTAGATGAGGTAAAAGGCGTGATGCTTGCCGGTGGGAGGGAAGGGATTACGCCGTCCACCTGATATATGTTGTTGAAAAACGCAGACAGAGATGGCATAAGTTGCTTGAGGTTGTTCAACCCAGTAGAGCACTACTGCTCGGCTGCGTGACTGGAAAGTTCGAGAGATTTTGAGGTGGGCGTTTGCTGAGTAAGAGGAGTTCATGGTTCCTGCTTGTGCTAAGAAAAAAAAAAAAATCTAGCCCGAATATGACATCCAACATGTTGGGTTGCGGGTCGCCATTATATAGTCGCCAAGAAGACCTCCAAAATGGTGAGGCATGAATAACGACATCAGAAGGTCAAGATTTCTGCAGACATCAACTGCTGATTAGTGTCTGAGATGGGATGCCGATGAAGTGACAAAGTAAAACATGAAAAACAGTCGAGCGTTGTGCTAGATGAGCCCAGGCTTTGCTAGATGAGCCCAAATGGAGCCACTTCCGGGATTTCAACCAAGCCTTTTGTGGATTTGTCCCATGATAAGAAATCTACGGAGTCCAATGAACAGTCGAAGGCAGTTGAGATAATTTCAAGCTTGTAGGAAGAGAACTGATGCTACCGGATAAGAGATATTTGAGTAAAAAATCAAATCGATGTCGGATTTAGGGGTCCAACCTAGTAACGTTCAATGCCTGGCCTGATAAAAGGAGTGAAGAACGTCATTGTCCAATATGAGAGTGATGATATTGGAGGGATTCAACAGCATCCACGTGAATAAATGACCATCTTGACTAGTTGTGAGTGTTCATGGAGGCCGAGAAACAAACCGGGAAGAGGGAATGATTTGCTGAATCGCGATGCTTGATGTTCAAGCTACTGCAATCAGCTACATGGATGCCATAACGCGCAATCAATTGGCGTTTCAGCTTCACCGCATTTCGGATAGGGGTAGGTCAAATGAAGGGGATGGGAATGATTCAAGAGAGACTCATTCAGAATTGAGAATGAGCATTCATCGGATAAGACTTGTCAATCCTGTGTTCAGGAGTCCCCCAGTAGATAATGGATACTTGAATGAACTGTGGTGCCTAACGAACCAACGTCAGGTGGGATAAAGGTAGGAGCGTTCTGAAGAAAATGGGCGAGGGGGCTGAATCTCCAGGCAACGATATATTAAGTGGGGGGGGGGGGGATGATTGGACTTGTTGATGGACTGGTCACCTCAAAGATAAGATTTGGTGGAATGAGAGGAGAAAGGAAGCAGGCGTAAGAATTGAAGTATGGAAATCTGGGCCGAACTTCGAGGGGAAGAGTAAAAGAAAATTGTTCTGTGGGAGAAAGTGAGAGGTGATGGGGGGACAGATGGGCAGAGGGCGGTCGTTTATAAGCCCAACCAAGTGCGAAAAATAAAAAACTGGCAAGTCGCCGAGGCATTGCTGGCATGACCAATCTTGAGCCGGTATTGAATAAGGAAAGCTACAAATAGGAGAGTTTGTTGCATTCTACTCAAGCCTACTCAGTGTATAACCTTCCGGTGGGCCAAATTCGTTTTTTTTCACTTTCCTTTCGTACCTTATCTCCCTGCAAAACTCAATCGTTGTTGATGTTAGCGATATTGGTTTAGCATAACATGCCCTGACTCGAAATATTATCAATATCAGCTATCGAGGCCCAGCTGGCTAGGCAAAATTTGTCTTCCTGGACTGGTTCTAACCAACGATTGACGATAGCATCCCCCAACATCAAAGCCAAACCTATTCTCCCCTTCAAGGAGATTGATGTCGGACTATTTCTATTTTAATCAGCCGAAGTCGTCAATGTGGTCTAATAGTCTATGTAGCAGACATCAGTCGAGCGGCAGAAGCTCTATGATACGGATTCGAATAAGTGATTTTTGAACCCCTGAACACAACTGACTCTCTCATCTTGATTCTTGAGTCCAGATTAGAATGCATGTACCTGGATGTACCTAAGAATCGCCTTGTCAGGACTCAGCCCAATTTTCGGTTCTGACCGCCTCTCAAGATATGGAGAATCAAGTAAGTCGGCCTCTTACTTGCGAAGTCCAACATTTGATGTTTACGTCGACCATACATGTGTGAGTTTGAAGAACAGGATGGTGACAAACACCATTAAAATAAATCACTAACCATCACCTGTTCAAAGCAAGTAGAAAAGACAAAATGGTTGATGCAATTGACTTTGCTGCTCAATAGACTTCACTGAATCCTCTGATGATCCAAGCTTTGGTTTACAAACAATTTCATCTGTTTAAATTTTAGGGCTCACCAAATCAGCCGGGGTGCGACTTCCACAAACCAGTTAGGTTAGTTAGATTTAGTTAATGCACCCATAAAGAGAAGCAAATCAGTGATTTGTTCATGATAAAAGAGCAATTTCAAGGTTGGGAATGGAAGAAAATTGAAAAGAATTTTTTTTGTATGTATTTCTTTTCTCAACTGGTCATAACATTGGAATCAGAAACCTCAACAGAAATAGCATCTGGTAGGATACATTTAATCTTGTCAGTCCTATATACCAGCTTGCAAACTGGAATGGAAAGTTGCATATTTTATAGATTATTAATAAAATTTTGAATATGATGGATGCAAAGAAGGGTATTGATCATAAAAATGTCAAGTTAGCCAAGCCTCACTAAATTCATCACAAGTTTGTGTTGCAATGCATTTGATTTTAGTTACAATGGTAAATACTCTTCAGTAGTATCCAACTAGCCAACAAACTGAAGATTCCAAACTTTTGAGTGGTAATTTTTGCCTCTTTAATCAATGGTCTTATTATTTGTTGTGAAAACCCATGTTACTACATATTATTAATTTCAAGCTCAAATATCTTGTGCTACAGGAATTAACTTCATCAACATTCCTAACAAATGTGATGGGTTGGAATTGATATGTTGAGGCTTTCCCCCAAAACTTAAATAAAACAAATTCACAATGGTGGATTGATTGCAACATCCACTTGGCAGTTAACTGTCACAACAACTGTGTGATCAATACTCAGAATCATCCACCTTCTCATTTCTCCTATCATGACCGTCTCACAAAATCTAAACACTCAGTACCTAAACACCCGAATGCTCAAAACACATGACTAACAATGTTCGCTCAGACCGCTCACAACCAAGAATCATTGTTCTTTCTTTCTTTCTTCCTATCCTTTGTAACAACAAAGAATCTTGTCCTATCTAAGTGCTTAGTCTCATGAACCTGTTTCTTGCCTGCTCTCGGTCTCTCTTCTGATATCATCAACGTGTATATAATCTATAGTGTTTGCTCCTGTTTGTTTCCTCTCATGCTTCACGGAAATCCAGATTTCTATACTTACATACACAGTCACTGACTCCGCGAGTCACACTTCTCAGAGTATCTGTATACTTTCTCCCTTTCACTCACGCTCCACGAGCATACTGCCCTCGCTAGATTAACATCATGAGTAATTTATGGAATATTTCATGAGAATTCAAATTTTGATGGCAAGCATATCATGATGATAAAACTAAAAAGAACTTTGGAAATCAAATTTAAAAGAAGAAAAAAAAACAAAGCTTTACTTTATTCCTTAGGGTGGTTAGATTTAGAAATAAATGTTGCAAATGAGGAGGTTAAATATTCTACATCAACCAAATTCAAAACATGTCCAAATTGAAAAAAGTGATCCAATCAAGCAAAAAATCTTTGAAACTAATGATCAAATCAAGCAAAAAATCTTGTAATGAATTCCAATGCTTTGGTCTTCATATACAGATGTGAATCTCACCAATTTATTGCTTTCAAATTAGTTAACTAGGTATTTCAAGCATGTATGCTTTTGTTGCTAACAACCTTTGGTAGGCTTGTGTTAAGATTGGGATCACCTTGATTTGAATAGATTATCTTACTCCAATCCCAAAAAACCTATCATTTTCAAGAATAGGTTCATTTTGAAAGTTTGAAGCTGAATCAAAGTGTTTAGAGTGGCTACTTTGTGGAACTTGACACGAGGGAAGCGTGCAACTGTCTTCAGCCATCTTAATTCTCCCTGAAATTGTGTGAGATGTAGATGTGCTAGAAGGGGAGAAGATTCATGGCCTAAAATGGCGGGTCCCTGTTGTTGAAAAAGAAGCTGCGGGATGGACAACAGTTTCCTTATCACTCTATCTAAACTCTTAGCTAGGCCTTTGGGTTTGTAACATTTGAGAGTGATCACGAATACCATGGAAATGAACGAAATTGTGAAAAAGAATTGCAAGACATGTTTGTAGACTGCAGAGTTTGCGCAAATTGAGTAGATTCGACGAACAAATAAACCAGGAAATTTTGAAGGTAATGGAGACACTAATTACGAATCATTCTTGGAAATCTATCAGAGCAGGTTACAGAGTCGGCATCAGGTGTTCTACATTGCTTCCATCGTACAACTACAGGGTGATAAGGGCAGCATGGAATTTGGAGATTGATGGAATGAATGATGTGTTTGTGCGTATTATCGATTTTGCAATGAATCACCGGTAGTTGGTCAATCACTTCTTCGCCGAAGGTAGGTAGCAATAGTCACGTGTCCCTTTTGGGTTGAGAAAATAACTGGACAAGCAAAAAGGTATCAGTAAGCCATTCAATGAAAAAGAGGCACAGTAATCTCGAACTCACGTAGGCATTTCCACTTTGAAGCCAGCTCCTCCCTGAAGGGTCAGTGTCAGTATGAACATCATAAACTGAGTACCTCCGTCAAGCTAGTTGTAATCACAATTCATTAGCTTCTATCAGGTCTGGAAAAGGACAATAGAAAAATAACTTACCGCTGCACTAAGTATATAACTTTTTGGGAAAATGAAATTCACAGGATTAGCCATGGGTTGTCACGTAGATTTAAATTGAGATTTTACGAACTTGTACTTTTGATACCTGGAAGAAGAATGCAAAGTGTGTTAGTCAACGTCAAATAAACACATCTCGAATTGTAGTCGTAGTCGAAGCTTACCATTGGAAACGGTACATTTCGTATATAATACTGTGTGTAAATTGCTATCATTGTGCCACCAGTCCTTGCAGAAGTTACGCCTGTGGAAAGCCGTCAGTAGAGGTAATCGGGGGAATAAATTGCTGAGAGACTTACCGCCAATAGCACCAAAGAAACCCGAGCAGAACAGAGATATGTTGACCTTATTGAATCCAAAGCGGGGTTTCCACCGGTGAAGCAAGAAAAATGGTATTGGTAAGAAGAATCCTACGATCAAAGAATATGGGACAATTGCCTGCCGAAGCCAAGAGTGTTTTCAGGTTAGCTGTTTTACTCTTCAACGAAATCATGACGCTCTTGATTGATTTCTTGTTCTTGTTTTCTCATGTCTGTGAGAATTGTTTGAGGGGGGAGAACCAACATATCTTTGTCCGGTCAAGTAGAGCTTCCTGCTGAAGACTCCCCAACTTGTTGAGTAAAAAGATGAATGCAAGTGAGCTTTAGGAAACAAAGAATTAACGATGGAATCTCGTAATAAATGACGAACGTTGTAGATTCAGCTGCGAATGTACTCAAAGCCATCCCCTAAAATTAAGTTGAAGAGACGTTATTGCTTGAGATCCTGCTGTAATCTGGATGAATCGGAGAAATATCAGTGAACTTACGGTAAAGACCCCGTTTCCGTTTGGAAGTAGCAGAACATCTCGTTGGGAACTGAGAATGGCTATCATCACGAAATAGTGAGTGAAGCCACCGACCAATCTATCAAGTCGCGCAATATTAGCCAGACGTTGAGGTTAAATGTACTGAGAGGCACTTACGTTCCGATCAGTTGCGAACAAACAACGGATAACTAAGGACCCCAAACTCCTGGATTAGGAACGCTTGACTCGAATACAAGAAGTAACCAATTGGCTCACTGAAGATAGGTGCATGTATTGGCCCAGCTTGAGATCTCGCAACATAAACACAGACTGGCCAACGCTCGTGCTTCCGAACCTATGCATGAATAGTAAATGTCAGTTCAACCTCAAGATTGAGGTTTGTCTCATTTTGTTTCAAGGTGTGGTGCTTACAAGGTGAACCACATGTTCGCAATCGCATTGCCTGGGAACATCAGGCCCCTGATCATTTCAAAAGATCAGCATGTGTTTTCGAAAACTAACATGGAGGTGAAGTGCTCACCCTAGCATCTGAACAACGGCTGTGGGTCGATAATTTACTGGTCAGATTTCATGGCCCATGTAAAGTGAACTCAGGTGGTTTAAGAGATAGTTGGCGACTCACGATGACAATGCAAACCGACCCCAACTGTTGCATAAAAGAATCCGGCGGCCAAACTGAGAGGAAAGAAGCCAGTTGTCAGCAACCGTCTGCCAAAATACGCAGGGCAAGAGTTGATCCCTCATTTGTTGGTCTTACCTTAGAACAGCAGATATACAGAATGCCGTTAAAAGCGCAACAACGGATAACCCGGATTTACCTAGGTAAGAGCACAAGAAGGCCAATCCCACAAACAGTACTGCGAGAAGACAAAAAGCCCTGCGAAAAGAATAAAAAAACATTTGTCAAAAGAAAGTTCATCAAGATTATATATCGATGAGTATGACTGACCATTCAGGAAATTGAGCATATTTTTTTGTGATTGTACGGTGAGGATCTTCAGTTCCGGGATTATCCCCTTTTCTAAAAGCTGCCTTGGTTTCTTCCCAGTTCCAGATTAATGCGCCTGTGATAGCAGAAGTTACAGCAAGAGAAACACCAGTCTTTCCAACGATATAAGTCGGCGCATAGTACGGCAATCCTAAAGCCTCGACCCCGTGAAAGTTTTCTGTTCCATTTTTGTGAATGGTAGTAGTCAAGTTATAGCGCTTCCCATGCGAGTCCAATATGTCATATGAGATGAAAGGAAGAGGGGGCCCGCCTGTGTATTAGGATGGTAATGTCACCATATTTCAAGCGGGAAAAAAATCAACTGAGAATCAAACTGAAATCGTTCATAAGATCGGGGGACAAAACGGTTGAACTGACCAAACCAGTTAAACCTGTATGCAGCTCCCATCAAAAAAATTGCAAAGGAGACTGAGACCCAATCTGTGATCTGAAAGGTTCCCATGATGACGGCGCCGTCAATTTTTTGATCGTTTCTTCGAAGGAGATGGATTCAGAAAAGAGTGACTCGTACCTGTGCCATCAAAGGAACGAACAAAGGCCCATGGGAACCTTTAACAGATTTGATTGTCAGCTCCACGCAAGTATTCGGATCTATTCTTTTTCGTCAAAGACAAACTCACCGACTAGCATCCAATCCGAGGAGAAAGCGAAGAGGCCCATTCCTTCTGCCACCATCGAACCACCAAAGATGTTGGTAATGGCAGGTACTTGAGGTAACGTTAAGCACCAAGGACTGATCGCTTGAAGCGCTGGTGCCAGATACATAGGAATAACTTCATCTGTGGTTACCGATCGCAGCAGCGTCATTTCAACATTAGTGATTGACCAGTAGGCATATAACACCAGATGGGCCCATGAGTTTCATCTCACACAAACTGGTCCAGATGAACACTTTTTTGAAAGATTTGACCTGTTTCTCTACGTCTGGGGTATATTGACCCAAGGATTTAAATAGTGCCACGGATGGCAATACACTCCTGCGAAAATGATCGAAATTCAACCCTTCTGAATGTTTTTTGTTTTGCTTCCTAATGATTCATGTTAGAAAATTCGACGTACGGAAATATGGTCTTGGCAGGATAAATCAAAAATGGTCGAAGAAGCCTGTCGTAAAACAAACAAAAGAAATCCATCAGCCATATGCAAACGGAGGTACTACCTGCGAGAACAAAAATTACCCTGCCCATCCGTAGCCAATCAATTGACTGCTTAGAAGAGTCATGATGATGATCGCAGGATGCATCTTTCGATCGAAAAACAAATCCTGAGTGGCCACCATCTGGAGGACAAAATGAGTGAGTACAGGTTCTGCCACAACGGAAGTGATGCGGTACTTACTTCGACGCTAGGAGTACCAGCCGCGCCAGCAGTCGCCATGATGGCAGCAAAGACAGTCTCCTTCTGTGGATCCGGTTAGAGATTGGAAATCAGCCTGTGATCAATTGATTAAGCTTCATTTGCCATGACAAAGTGAATCTTACCACAGTCAAAGGACACGGGTTCCACCACAGAGGACCGGGGATCTTCGCGAATGCTCTTCCGAGAATCAAACAAGCCAACTAGAGTACCAAGAATTAGTATCCAATCAAGGTATTTTCTATTTGTCGCGTCGAGCTCACTCACCTGAATAAACAATGGATGAGGGTGTAGATGCACCGGCTTATACATAAAGATCTATGGCGGCGAAGACAAGATACTTCATGATGAGTAAGGGAGATCTAGGCTTTACGCGGATAATTAAGAGTTTGGGAGCTGACCTGCGAGACAGCCGCACCAAATATGGCCATTATTAGGCCGACGAGACACGATCTGACTGTGACTGTGGGCATATCTGGGTTATCATCTCCCTCTTCAACGTCGGGTATCACGGCGGTCTCGTCAAAGGGGTCGGAGGTATTGGGATCTTTCCCACCCACAACTTCAATGCAAGATTCATGAATGGCGCTGTTTTTTTCGTGTTCTTTGTTCTTCTGGCATACCTGATCCAGATAGGTAGTCAGAGAAGTCGTGTTGGATGAGGAATAATGCATCTCATGCGTAGGTTCTCTCAAGAGAAGGTTATCTTGTGGAGGATAATGAGCGAGAGAATTGTCTTCATATGTTTGGTCTGGCCGTGGAACGGTGCGCTTCCTTGCCCCAGCTGGGGCTTCTGGGTCCGTTACCATTTAGGACTTGAAAAGTGTCGAGTGGCCAAGAGGAATCGCGCAAACCAGAAGCGATAGCGAATACCACGATTCAGATAGATATATATTTATTATATACTGTAGTTCTCGAAGATTTAAGAGCCCGTGAACTGTTCTCAAGGAGTTTCAAAACTTTTAGAACAGCCTCCTAGGAGAAAGAAATGAAAGAGAGATAATTCCGTCGGGACCTACTGTGGGTTCTAGTATTATTTACAGCTCAACCGCCAAGGGCTCTACTTGCTCGGATGAGAAAAAATAAGTCTGTTCTAATGTCAGTTTGCTATCGGAACTCTCACTGTGCGAGATATTCCAGTCATCCTGATTCTCCCATACCATCCTGCCAAACCGGAAAAAAGAACGGAAAACTTACCAAGCTCTTTGGGAAAGATAATTTTTTTGGAGCAGGTATCAAGATTCGAGAGGCCCAGTGCAGTGAAAGACCATGGGAAGAGGCTTGTTTATATCCAGAATGCCTGCCTTCCTACTCGCGTTCCTGCTTGATTAACAATCGTAATTGGGGTAGGCTTCAGGCTTGCTGCGCACCCTTTTCGGTCGAATGTTCAATAATCATGTGTCGTGGGATTAGGTCCGATTTAAGCACCAGCACTGCTATTGATCACCGGTGATTCGAGTTTGATGTGCTAGTATCTGAAGGATACAAATTTAGTCTCACCGGTGTTTAGTCTTGGGTTCAAATGTAAACGTGCAAGCAGAGCGGCGGCGGCGCCAGATCAGTCAAGGATCCGCTATTCAATGATCAATCAAAGTGATACGTGCTTTTCCGTTAGGCTGGGTTCTCATCGACGCCGATGAAGATCCGCTGTGCTCTGGTTTAAGTCGGGGTGTTGTAGCGCATAGGTCGGAGGTCTAACTTGTTGGCACCGGTGACCGAGGTATGATGCCAACTTGCCGGTGCTCCTTTGATTGGCCGGGGGGAGAGCGGAGGCAAAGGACTTCTGACTCGCCACTCCCTCCTCCGACGGTGACCTAACCCTTCAGTCTTGCCGAGCTCTTGATAAATCAGATAGGCTGCTCGAGCTGGCCTGTTTGTCTAACTTGAATCTGCTATATACATCTGATATTGCTGTACCGTCGTGTAGCACTGGGATGCCGATTTGTGGTCCTAGGGACTACTCAGAAAGACTTCTTGGCAGCCCCGACGGCTCCATTATTGAGGCGATTAAATCGTTTGACTGAAGTTGCGTTTTCTTCTTAAGATACCAGAAGGCTACCTGTCCCCCCCTTGCGATGTTTGCAAAGAGATGATGAGAACTCCCTCAAACTCCAATTTGTAAGTACAGCTTTGCTGGCATTTTATCAAACTGTTGAGCTTTTTTATGAAGGGGAAGTAGAATTTTGATTCGGGTAGTAAGAGCCCTTGAGTTTTAGAGCTCGGCAATGTCTTGCAGACTCCGTGTTGTGCTTCATCTGCAAATGTTTTAATCCCTCATCAACTTGAAAATAAATAAAAATCCCCTGCAAATATTTCAATCCCTCCCCACCCTGCCAGTAACAGAATCTCTTGAATTCCATCACATCCAGACATGCGTATACTATAAACCAAGCACCCTCTCAGCTTTCAAGTCATTTACACACAATTACATCAAATGCAAAATTGGTCGAAAGTCGATTGCGATTTTGAACACAGTGAAAAACTTGCAATAAAATTGCATCTATGTAGCAGAAAAAAAATACATATGTGTGGATGAGCCAAGAGATTTATCTCATCAGGGCATTCACGACATGGTTGACTTTAAGGTTTTTCAAATCGGTATAAGTTTGCCCGGTGCCAACGAAAAGGATTGGCTGGTTGATAGTATAGGTCATCGATAAAGCAGCTCCAACCTTGTCATCGATCGTATCAAACCTGAATGGAGAAATGAGTTGGTAGAACATGTGTCAGTGCTTTACATTGACTTTGATTCGGATTATTGCGTATGGGGGTCAACGTATTGTGAGACTTGGCATGGATTATAAATTTTGGAAGGGAGATCAGGACAGTGACCCCGTAACCAACCCGGGCACCTCCAATAAGAAATGGAGAGTAAGGGTCGACTCAACTTGGTCAAAATGATGCCATCTATGCCACGAGGAAGGTGAGAATCCAGTCCACTGAAAGTCTTCAAAGATTTATCGAATTTGCCTAGTTGATCAACTGCTTCATTGCCAACCAATGCCTCTCCAACAAACAATATTTTGTCTGGTTGATTGACTACCACAAGCTATCCATTTGTTTAACAAGAACATTAGCCGGTTAATAACAGTTATGAATGATTTAAGGGTGGTCAGAAGAGTGAAACAACTGTAAAGATCTTCCCTGACATACCTTTCCAAGCGCCCTCATTAATGGTTCGTTGTCTTGCATTCTGCCAGCTGTATCGATCAGTACCACATCGAATCCATCGTTCTTAGCTGGTTACATGCCCATTAAACCATCAGCTCGAGTCATCCAAAATCCGAGCCGTGAAGATCAAATAAAATCATTCTTACCGTATTGGATAGCTTCTTTGGCTATACCGGCAGCGTCCTTTCCGTAGCCCTTCTCAAACAACTCGATCATTTTACGTTCTTCGTGGTTTGAATTAGGAGATTGGTGTTCAATCGCGCCATCGAGTTTGCCAAGATTTCGGACATGAGTTCTTAGTTGTTCCACTGCTCCAGATCTAAAAGTATCACATGCCGCGATCAATACTCGTAGGCGATTCTGGAGTAACCAGAAGGCGACCTTAGACAAGTTGGTCGATTTTCCGACTCCATTTACACCCACGAAGGTCATCACATATGGAGCGGTAGAAGTACCACCGCTAAGCTGAGACAAGTTCATCTGTTTTTGCCGATCTTGCTTTTGATGGATATCAGCCAAAATATCTACGCTCGTTTTTGGTGTGAGAATTTTCGTTAAGCTGATCTCTAAACTGTGGTTGATTAATTTTTTGAGGGCGGTCGTCGATCGGTCCGATAGTTTTTGCCCGATCAATTCCACTTGGATCCGCTCACAAATCCTCACAGCAATCTCACGAGCCACATTTTTCTTCATTAGTTGGAGTTGAATTTGTTCAATCATCGGCTTGACATCCTCCTCGCGCAAGGTGATTGGGCCTGATTTCTGTCCACCAAAGATCGGAATGGATGAGATGATCTTGGAAAATAGAGTGGGTTGTGATTTATCTTCTTCGGATTTCTGGTCAGGTCGACTTCGGTCAAAATCGGCAACTTCATACAATCCTTTCTGATTACGAGTGCCCATTGACATTTTATCAATAAAGTTCGATGACAACGTTTTCGAATCGTCCAGGTGAGCATCTTTCTCACTAAAATCATATTCGGCGATGTCGTTTGCTGTGATTCTTCCATTGTCCCACTTTCTGGCCGTTTTTTTGTTCGTAGTTTGTGGTTTGCCTGCCGGCGCAGTATCAGTGTCTGTACCAGATCGAGAAGTCGCTCGACTGGTAGAGGATTTGTTGGGTTTCTTTCTTGCTTTCAGCGCGGCTATGTTTCTGGCAATTGTTTCCGCATCAGTGGCGGTCGTGAGAGCCGTAGGTTCTAGAAAATCGATTCAAGACGAATGCATAAGGTGAAAATCACTAGTCTTGCCGTATGCTGATTGAAACACAAACTTTGGTCATCAACGAGTTGCTGTTCCTCTGCTTGTCGTTGAGCAGCCCTTTTATCTAATCCACTTGTTTTTTGAAAATCAATCCCACCCCTTCTTCGATCGGACATCCGCTCGATATCTTTCAATAACTTATGAAATGATTGATCCCATCCTTTGAATAGATCTTTGAATCCTTCGGTCAATCCGGTCTCAGGGACGATCCACGAGTTGAATGTAGTGTCGAGAATTGAGCCGTACAAAGAGGTGAAGAGTGATTTCATAGATTCAAGCAAGTCAGTAATATACGTGAGTTGCAAGATCCGCTGATAAGCTACCTGTTCGTAATATACTTTTGATGAGCTTGACCATCCTATCAAATAACAAAGATTTAAACATGAAGAAAAACAATACTAACAACGAAAATCAAGCCAAATTCATTGGAAAAATTCCATTGGAGAGAATAGCTCCCGATCTGCATGACCATGAGGTCATTAAGGCCTGACGATTGCTCCCCGATCAAACCATCTCCAATTAACGTTCGTATGGGAGATGGGGTGGGGACGAATGATTTGGACCAAAGCACGAGTCCACCTGTGAAACAGTAAAATCCCCGTCAGTATCCGAATCAGTATTAGCGCTGAAGCGGCGAGAAAATTGGCATACCTCGATGGAAGATATGAACGTGGTCCAACATCAGTTCTCCAAGGTATTTGAGTGTGTTCCTCGAACAGGAGTGCTGGAAAGTGTGGTAAAATGGATGGGGCAAAAAACCCACCGTTGGTTGATCTTCCCCCGGGGTCCCACAGGGTCCCACACACGCTCCCGGGATATCCCGACCCATCGTGGAGAAGAGCACTTTGTCAAAGCAGGTCCCCCACAGCTGCAGCATAATGCAATAAACTGATGTCATGAATGCAACTAGATATCACAATTAAACAAATGGCTATCAAGGGAAAGGAAAGCATATTTTTCCTTCAAGTTCAAACTAGTAATAATGGATCTTTGTCTCAATTTATATTGAAAGGTTTTGAATCAAGATTTCTTGATGGATTTTGGAAAGAAAAACATCACAATTCCCATTGGAATCTGAGGGTCCCTCAGAACTGATCTAGAGTCTTGCAAACCAGATTCACCTGCAAGAATCTAGATTTTTCAAATCTAGATTGACTTTTGCAAGGGCTCCAGTTCACCTGAGAAATTCAATATCAGTTTGGATCTACACAGTGATTCACAACACTAACACCACAATATAGGTTATTTTACAATTGAACCAACAAATTGTGAGTTTACCACATAGGATTTATGATCCACCAACCTGAATTTGGAAACTCTGATCTATTGTGGATGCTCCCTTGAGAATTCAATTTGGACCTGAAAAGCAAGATTCATGTTCGGGAGGTTAGAGACAACGGTGCCACAGAGACGATACGATACGGTATCAGGTGTTTATCTGTATCGTCTCAGAATTGGAATACCCAAAAATACCGGATTTGTGTTGTCTCACTTTCCTGAGACATATACATGTATCGTATTTGAAAAGTGAGAAATGTATTCTGTATCGTCTCAGATGACTGATCCCACCAAAACCGTATTTGATACATAAGATACTTGGCTGTATTGTAGAAAAAAACAAAAAAAACGAAGACGATTTTTTTTTTTCATTTTTAAATCCAAATCCGATACACTGTATTTTTTCACCAACCAAGGAAATACTGATACCGGTATCAGGCTCAAAATAAATACGATACGATCCGATACAAATACATGTCTCGTATCTGTGGCACCGTTGTTAGAGAGGAAACCTTATTATCCACATAATAGTGGATAATGCATAGAATTCAGTCTCAGACCATGATGAACAGCTACTTTTACTTTTCTTTCCTTGAGTGAGGAAACAGGAAAAAAAATTCTAATCAATGTTCAATTCAACAAGACAATATCCAGAATCAAAGGTTCAAACTTGATAACCTCCCCTGCTGCACTTTGATACAGAACCTGTAGATCTTCAACTGTGTCACCCTGTGTATTGGTGTTGGGACACATCAGAGTCAGATTTCAACTGTGAAGCACAAAGGGGCCTGGCCTGCTCTCTGAATAAATAAAAACACAGAGCTTGAAAATTCTCCATCCTCAGCCCTCTTCCAACATTTTACCATTGAGAAAAAAGAATGAAGATAACCAATTTCTGCAAAGTTGGGCTATTCATGGTCATGACTCATTTGTGTTTCCTCTCAGCAATGAAACAGGATCTTGATCACCTTTGGGGTTTAAATTCAATATCAGAAAAGCAACAAGGTAAAATTATCAATTGATGTCTCTTTCTAATAATCTAGAAATTATTGATTAGTTGTGCATGTAGATCATAAGCCACTTTTTTTCCAAACATAGGACCAAGAAAGCCATCAAATACCTTAATTCTCTTTGGTCAGTAATCAATTTCCTGAAAGATAATTATGGGGGCGCTGAGAAATACATAGGTACTCCATCCTTGTAAAGTAGTCCATAATTTCCTCAAATTCACTGATAAATTTCTTGTATTCTAGTCTAGTGTTGATGCCACCATTTTCCTGGGCCTTGTGTATGAGTCTTGGTATAGAGTCTTCCTTGTAGCGTCTCAGAGGTGTTGCTCTCCCCCATTTCCGGATTAACTCTTTCTTCCAAAGCTCCCAATTTCCAGTTTTGTGTCCTTCCATCTGCTCTATAGTTTCGCTGATTTTCCGGTTACTGATGATGAAGGGTAGTTGAAATGCAACGTCTCTTCCGCTGATAGTGTGCCAAATGTGTTTCAAGTACCAAATTGCATAAA